GAAAGTTCCCGACTCCAGGCCCGACACGTTCCAGGTTCCCCCCCCACCCCACCCCCGGTGAGAGTAAAATGAGCGCTGCCGCACTTGAAACGAATAGGAAGCTGGCCTCCAGGTCTAGACAACACAGCTGCAACTGAAACCCCCCACCCCACGCCTTAAGCCAAAACTGTTTGTCAGAAAGTATGTGTTTTCTTCCTATTTCAACTAACGGGACCAACAGTTAGAACATCGGCAGATGCACGGTTGTCCGGTTTGAACCCTAAACAAACCCCCCCGCCGTGTGTTTCAGCCCTCAACCCTTGAAAGTTCCTGATTTCCAGGCCCGACACTTTCCAGGTTCCCCCCCAACCCCACTCCCCCGCCAAGATTGCGTTTAAAGCCGGACAAGCGTGCATCTGCCGATGTTCTAACTGTGGGTCCCGCTAATTAAAATAGGAGGAAAACGTTTTGGCGTAAGGCGTTGGGGTTTCAGTTGCACCTGTGTTGTCTAGACCTACAGGTCAGCTTCCTCCTCCTTTCTAGTGCAACAGCACAAATTTTACTCTCACCGGCGGGAAGGGACATCGGCAACTTTGACGTTGGGGGCTGTTTAAAGCTAAGACCACAGCTGCAACTAAAATCCCCTCGCCTCAGGCTAAACACAATTCTTCGAAAGGCATGTGTTTTCTTCTTGTTTCAATTAACGGTGCACACAGTTAGAACATCGGCAGATGTACGGTTGCCTGGGTTGAGCCCTAAACAATCCCCCTCCAGATGTTGTAACTCTCTAGCCTCAACCCTGAACAAACCCAAAAGTTTCACGCCTACAAAAACGAGCAGTCCGCCCATGATTTTAGCCTTAACAGACCTCAATCAGTTGCCGAGTTCCAGGCCCGACACTTCCCAGGTTCGCACCCCCCCACCCCACCCCCGGCGAGAGTAAAATGAGTGCCGCACTTGAAACGAATAGGAAGCTGACATCTAGACAACACAGCTGCAACTGAAACCCCCCACGCCTTAAGCCAAAACTGTTTGTCAGAAAGTATGAGTTTTCTTCCTATTTCAATTAGAGGGACCAACAGTTAGAACGTCGGCAGATGCACGGTTGTCCGCGCTTTCGGTGAGAGTAAAATGAGTGCTGCCGCACTTGAAACGAATAGGAAGCTGATTTCTAGGCCTAGACAACACAGCTGCAACTAACATCCCCGCCTCAAGCCAAAACTGATTTTCAGAAAGTATGTTTTTCCTCCTATTTCAATTAGCGGGACCCACAGTTAGAACGTCGGCAGATGCACGGTTGCCCGGGTTGAACCCTAAACAATCCGCCTCCAGATGTTGTAACTCTCTAGCCTCAACCCTGAACAAACCCAAAAGTTTCACGCCTACAAAAACGAGCAGTCCGCTCATGGTTTTAGCCTTAACAGACCCCAACCAGTTGCCGAGTTCCAGGCCCGACACTTCCCTGGTTCGCACCCCCCCCACACCCCCGGTGACAGTAAAATGAGTGCTGCCGCACTTGAAACGAATAGGAAGCTGACCTCTAGGCCTAGACAACACAGCTGCAACTAACATCCCCGCCTCAAGCCAAAACTGATTTTCAGAAAGTATGTTTTTCCTCCTATTTCAATTAGCGGGACCCACAGTTAGAACGTCGGCAGATGCACGGTTGCCCGGGTTGAACCCTAAACAATCCGCCTCCAGATGTTGTAACTCTCTAGCCTCAACCCTGAACAAACCCAAAAGTTTCACGCCTACAAAAACGAGCAGTCCGCCCATTATTTTCGCCTTAACAGACCTCAATCAGTTGCCGAGTTCCAGGCCCGACACTTCCCTGGTTCGCACCCCCCCACCCCACCCCCGGTGAAAGTAAAATGAGTGCTGCCGCACTTGAAACGAATAGGAAGCTGACGTCTAGACAACACAGCTGCAACTGAAACCCCCCACGCCTTAAGCCAAAACTGTTTGTCAGAAAGTATGTGTTTTCTTGCTATTTCAACTAACGGGACTAACAGATAGAACGTCGGCAGATGCACGGTTGTCCGGATTGAGCCCTAAACAAACCCCCCCACCATATGTTTCAGCCCTCAACCCTTGAAAGTTCCCGATTCCAGGCCCGACACGTTCCAGGTTCCCCCCCCACCCCACCCCCGGTGAGAGTAAAATGAGCGCTGCCGCACTTGAAATGAATAGGAAGCTGACCAGGTCTAGACAACACAGCTGCAATTGAAACCCCCCACCCCACGCCCCAAGCCAAAACTGTTTGTCAGAAAGTATGTGTTTTCTTCCTATTTCAACTAACGGGACCAACAGTTAGAACGTCGGCAGATGCACGGTTGTCCGGGTTGAGCCCTAGACAAACCCCCCCCACCATATGTTTCAGCCCTCAACCCTTGAAAGTTCCTGATTTCCAGGCCCGACACTTTCCAGGTTCCCCCCAAACCCCCCTCCCCCGCCAAGATTGCGTTTAAAGCCGGACAAGCGTCAATCTGCCGATGTTCTAACTGTGGGTCCCGCTAATTGAAATAAGAGGAAAACACATACTTCCGAGGAAAAGCGTTTTGGCGTCAGGCGTTGGGGTTTCAGTTGCACCTGTGTTGTCTAGACCTACAGGTCAGCTTCCTATTCCTTTCTAGTGCAGCAACACTAATTTTACTCTCACCGGTGGGAAGGGGGGGGGAACCTGGGACATTGGCAACTGTGATGTTGGGGGCTGTTTAGAGCCAAAACCACAGCTGCAACTAAAATCCCCACGCCTCAGGCTAAACACAATTCTTCAAAAGGCATGTGTTTGCTTCTTGTTTCAATTAACGGGGCACACAGTTAGAACATCGGCAGATGCACGGTTGCCCGGGTTGAACCCTAAACAATCCCCCTCCAGATGTTGTAACTCTCTAGCCTCAACACTGAACAAACTCAAAAGTTTCACGCCTACAAAAACGAGCAGTCCGCCCATGGTTTTAGCCTTAACAGACCCCAACCAGTTGCCGAGTTCCAGGCCCGACACTTCCCTGGCTCGCACCCCCCCACCCCACCCCCGGTGAAAGTAAAATGAGTGCTGCCGCACTTGAAATAGGAAGCTGACGTCTAGACAACACAGCTGCAACTGAAACCCCCCACCCCACGCCTTAAGCCAAAACTGTTTGTCAGAAAGTATGTGTTTTCTTCCTATTTCAAATAACGGGACCCACAGTTCGAACGTCGGCAGATGCACGGTTGTCCGGGTTGAACCCTAAACAAACCCCCCCACCATATGTTTCAGCCCTCAACCCTTGAAAGTTCCCGATTTCCAGGCCCGACACTTTCCCCCGCCAAGATTGCGTTTAAAGCCGGACAAGCGTGCATCTGCCGATGTTCTAACTGTGGGTCCCGCTAATTGAATTAGGAGGAAAACATTTTGGCGCAAGGCGTTGGGGTTTCAGTTGCACCTGTGTTGTCTAGACCTACAGGTCAGCTTCCTATTCCTTTCTAGTGCAGCAGCACTAATTTTACTCTCACCGGTGGGAAGGGGGGGGAACCTGGGACATTGGCAACTGTGACGTTGGGGGCTGTTTAGAGCCAAAACCACAGCTGCAACTAAAATCCCCACGCCTCAGGCTAAACACAATTCTTCAAAAGGCATGTGTTTTCTTCTTGTTTCAATTAACGGGGCACACAGTTAGAACATCGGCAGATGCACGGTTGCCCGGGTTGAACCCTAAACAGTCCCCCTCCAGATGTTGTAACTCTCTATCCCCAACCCTGAACAAACCCAAAGGTTTCACGCCTACAAAAACGAGCAGTCCGCTCATGGTTTTAGCCTTAACAGACCCCAACCAGTTGCCGAGTTCCAGGCCCGACACTTCCCTGGTTCGCACCCCCCCCACACCCCCGGTGACAGTAAAATGACTGCTGCCGCACTTGAAACGAATAGGAAGCTGACCTCTAGGCCTAGACAACACAGCTGCAACTAACATCCCCGCCTCAAGCCAAAAACTGATTTTCAGAAAGTATGTGTTTTCCTCCTATGTCAATTAGCGGGACCCACAGTTAGAACGTCGGCAGATACACGGTTGTCCGGGTTGAACCCTAAACAACCCACCTCCATAAGTTGCAGCCCCCAAGCCCTCAACCCTGAACAAACCCGAAAGTTTCAAGCCTATTTCAACAAGAGCAGTCCGCCAATAACGTTAGCCCTAAACAACCCCCAATCTGAAAGCTGTCGATTTCCAGGCCCGGCACTTCCCAGATTCCCCCCCCCCGGGTTGAGAAGACTCTTGCGCTCACTGCGGACTGGCCGGATGACATTTTTCAGGCAGCAGTTTCTGTAAAGACATTTATGCTTGTGGACTGGTCGGGTGACATTTTGCAGGCAGCTGTTCCTGAGATCTTATTTTGCAGGCAGCAGTTCCGGAGATTAAATTGAGCGCCGACGTACGAGAGAGGAATAGGAAGCTGATCTCTTACGATTAACAGCGCAGCTGCGACTAAAATGCCCACGCCTCAAGCTAAACACAGTTCTTCAAAAGGCATGTGTTTTCTACATACATTGCAAACAAAGCCATCATGTTGCGAGACACCATGAAACGCAAATCACTGCAACAGAAATACATAGTTGTTCAGCCTTGGTGAGGAAGCAACCCCCTTCAAACGCAGCATGCAACAATGGTTCACCAGCTTGTGCCACACAAAGTCGCAGTGTATGTAATTGGCCATTGTTGATGTTCTAACTTGGATGTTCTAAAACAAAAATACCCAGAGAAATGTCGCACGCTCAAATATGTTCTAACCCGGGTTCAGTTAGAACATGGATTCACCAAATGATGTTCTAACTTGAAGTCTGTCAATATACTTCAGACAAATCCACAGTATTTTCGCGTAGACATACGCAGACCTTTGTCCAGCGAAACGTCGCTACGTGCATGCCTAGGATTGCTTTGTTGGAAGGGGATATATGAAAACACCCCTCAATCCAACAACTCAACAAAAAGTGTGGAAGCAGTGCGTCATAAATGAGGCCAGTTGACTGATAGCTGCCAAGGCACAGTTCACGCAGTTCTCGCAGCACATGGTTTTGGCCTCGCAGCGTAGCCCTTGTGTCCTTTTAACTGACAAGGGGCCGGGTTTCTGTCCAAATGAAGAAGACCCCATGTTGGGCGGTTTCTCACTTTGAAACAGAGCAGCTATCCGATGATCAAAACTCTACATGGCTCTTCAACGCATTCTAAGTTTTCCCTTACCCACAAACATGAGCTGGACTCTGCCTCACCCCTGGGAGCAATCCGTTCCTTGTGGGGGAGAAGGCCCAGGCCTTCTCTCTCTGAAATCCAAAGCGATTGAAAGCAAAATCGAATCCCCGCCCCAGGATTTTTGAACAGATGTTGCTCGTTGGTGAGGTCCAGTAGCCCCGAAGCTCAAACCACTAAGCCAAGGCAGTGTATCCTTAGCATACTAAAAAGTATCTGTTGCAGAAACATTGACAAGGCCGTCCAGCAAGTCCTAGGAGAGGCAAGCAAAGCTATCGAGTAAGCCGTAAACCCAAAAAAATGGTCTTGGCAACCCTCCTACAAACCCTGGCTCATGAGGCATATCATGGAAACGCAAGCGGTTGCCCCAAAGTCTGACCAGGAAGGAGATCTCCGTTCTCCTACTTTCCGCATGAGCCAAACATCTCTGCCAAGTCATAGTGCTGACGAATCGCGCAGCTTGAAAGTCTGAAACTGTGCCACGCAACTCCCGCAGAAAAGCCTCCAAGGGCGGTGTTCGCAAATGAGCAGAATAGCAGCTAGCAGCTAGACATCTCTTGTAAACATCAAGCAGCACCAAGTAAACAGAGGGGAAGCTGCCAGCCTGCTGCTTCCGTTCTTTTCCGCCAAGGCGCAGGAGGAGGAGGATGGCCGAAAGCGCGCGACCTCAGAGAGCAAGTCGGCTTCGACAAGTGTTGATTGTGGTTTGTGTTTCGTCACTTCGTTGCACCCAGCCACGCACAAGCAAAGCAAAACTCGGTATGCCCAGATCATCATAAAATGTTTAGAAGGTAGGTATATAATAGTAAACAACAACAAGGCATCCCTTTTCCTAGCAGCTCTGCCTTTGTTCTTGCGTAACTCAGCGCCCAGCTTTGGAGGAGTCATCAACTTATCGACCTTAGATGATGCAGCATGGCTGTCGTAATCTGACAGAAAGCTATACATCGTGCATGGACAGAACCCTGCACCAGTTGGTGCACGACCTGCCCATCCCGCGGTATGATCAAAGACACCTTCTTACAAGTGTCAAAATTGTCAGCCAAGCCCTCTTGGTTTGCAGCCTGAAAAGCGCTGTGCTCTCTGTCTTGCTTTGTTAACAATGTTTGACAAATGTGGTTTCTTGAGGGTACCCCTTTTTGCTTGGGTTTTGAGGGACACCAAAGGAAAAGCCACCATTTTGGGGGTCCACCTATTTTGAGACGTACCCAAATACGCCAAATGCCCATGCAAGGCTGCTCGTGTTCTGGCAGTAGCGGCCAAACTCTGAAAGAGAGTAAAGCCGCTATCCTTCCAGACTCGGTTGGAAGCCTGGCGTCATGGTCCTGCCTTTAAAAAAGAGGGGGCACAAATATGACTTCAAACCCTCCAACTGGGTTGCAAGCTTGCGCAAGTAATTATTTGCGTCTAAAGTATCCAAAGGACTGGAGTACCCTCCAAAGGGTACAAACTTGCTGGTAAACAAAAGCCACTAACACGCCTGTCTCAACTTCTACACTGCTGACGGAGAAGTCATAGGAGTCCTTGGCACCCGGCTGACAGGCCGAAGGAGTTTTCGGAGCCTCACAAATCCGACGCGTCTTCCAGCTTTAGCCTCCGCTTTTCTTCGGTTCTATAGTCGCAGCACATGAGGGCTACAGGAATGAACTGCAAAGAATAGACTAATTCCCAAACCTGAATTGAGGGACGCCCGGCTTCATGAGCTCGGCTTACGTGTTGGCATGGGACGTGCCTTCCAGAGCGTCGAACAGGATCTTCTCTTTCAAGCCTGCCATGGTCAGTGCGGCGGAGAAAGCTGCCCACATCAGGGGGGCCGACTGAGCCACACATGTTGCTACCTGAGCCACGGTTAGAATTACTTGTCTCCCCGAAAGGACATGACCAATGAGTGAGTCCCCTGTTTCTAAGTGGAAATTTAGGGAGCCCCTAACTACCGCACATTCTCCAAACCTCATGTGTCAAAACTGGGCACAACTTTGGGGACGGTGCCCTCAGGGGCCCAGCCTAAAACTCGCCACTGGAAACGGTTCTAGTTTTGACATAGTGGAATAAACCACCTACTAACAGGTGTAGCATTTTGTCCATCCAGTACATGCACATGGGAGGTTGGTAATCCCAAATCTTCTAGGAAGCGTAGCAGAAAAGGCTTACTATGCCGCGGGGGGGGGGGGGGGGAGGGGATCTAGCTGGGTGGTTTCTGAACGATTCGCCTGAGGCACTCGCCTAGTTCGAACCTGAACACAAATACAGGGAAGCTGTAAGTTGTGGCAGCGAGGAAGGCACCCAAGGTAAGCTTCCGACTCACCAAACTTTCTGCCCCATAATTTTGGATGACGCTCATTCTCTTAGAACAGCCCTGACTGCGTGATGAAGGGAGAAATAATGTGGGAGTCATTCAGTTAGGGGGGACTCACACATGTTCGCATCAACTGCGCCTCTAAAAAATATACCGGTTCTGCTCATGGCATCCAAGCCCACGGCTCGGCACTACATGTTGACCAGTGTGTTTGACTGCCCAGGTAAACCCAATCGGCGTTCCTTCTTCACAAGTTGAAGTCAATTCCACGAGTTCCTGTGTTGCGGCTTCTTGGGTTGCGGCTTCTCTGGTTGCAGTGTGTGTTCCGGGTAGATGTCAAAAAAATCAGAAACCTTTTTCGGTACTCCCTGTAAAAGGTGCACAAGACACTAGGGTCCCCTTCAGGGGCATATCTTGACAACCCCCCCATGTCTCTTATTGTCAAGGTTCGATGTCTTGTACAACCTGAATGGCTCCAAGCCGCACAAGAACCGTTTTAGAAAAAAAACAACAAGAACGATTGCCCAGACATGACATCATCTCAAGTAATTACTGTCCCGCAAAACGCAAGCAAGCCTTCGGCGCAAACCTTTGTTCATAAAGCTCTCAGTGCATCAGATAGCCAATGACAGTTCCATCAACCACAGCCCTGCTCACCCAAAAACTTGCCGGCGTGAAATCTGAATTCAACACGACTTGCCAAAGGCATGTAAATCCCCGCCAGCCACACCAGCGTATGCAACAGCAAGCATCATGCAATACATGTTGTTTTCAACTTGGACAGGATCCTCCCAAAAAGAATGGAGGTAGAAAGCGGGGTCCATTTGAAGCAAGGACCACACCAACGGTCTCACGCAGGCATCTCCCTAAATTAAGCAACCCAGGCAGAAGCTGGGTGAGGTGAGACTGTTCAAGGGGACACAGCCAAGGGCTCCCCCACCCAGCTAGGAAAGAGGTGCTGATCGAAGGGTTCTGCAAACCATTGTGGGGGTAGGAGGCGCCCTAATGATTAGCCCTGACTAAACCCGCAGCCGATGGTCGTGCAGCGTTGCCTCGCTTGAACCGCGGCAGCGGAATCTTCTCCGCTGGGGGCTGGCCACCGGTAAGCAGAACGCCGACCTGGCGTCTCCGCTCGGGTCACACTCGCAACTGAGTGCTCCCCCATCAATTGACATGAAACCACAAACAGATATGCTTACTTAAAAGGGAGGTTGATTGGGGGCCCTCTTGTTGGGTTCCATGTTGATTTGCACGGAGAAACTAAAGTACATGCAGCAAGAACAAGCAACGCTGGTTGTGTCATGTGTGGAATATCATGAAGCCATTATGCATAATGATGCATTCCCGACAAAGCAAATTGTACACCAACCACCAAGACTTGGACGGGCCTATAGATTTAACACTCGAGCATGACCCTCCCTTGTGTGGTCCACATTGAAGTCCAAACTTGGAAAACAACCATAGACCAAATGGGATAATATGTATGATCAATACAGATTGCCACGGTTCTCCTGATTGCAGTTGTCACCAAACAACAACTATGGAAGAGTGGCTGGCAGTCTCTGTTGGCTGCAGGCAATCAGGACAAAGGCACGTACACGGGCCTTGAACATGCAGATAGTGGTGGAACGCATCTGATGATGAAATGTGTCAAGTCATGTCCATAGCCTGACTCTAGACAACTGCATGATTCCCCACCATTCATAACGTGTTGTCGGCATCTTGTCTAAGCATGTCCAAACTCTTGCTTGCAATGCAGTTGCTGGCTTGCTAGCGGGAAGTCATGAATGCTAAACCAGACATGATCCGTCCTCACAATAAGAGGCTACCGAGCTGAGCCACACTCGTTGGCACTTAGCAGACTGGCTGTTCAAACAAGATTGCAATCAGACTCTTGACTCTTGTCCTTTGTCTCCCTTAACAGACCCCATGAATGGCGTAGCGGCACTAAATACTACAACTCACCAACCGGAAACACACAAGGTTGAGTCGTTGAATCTGACCCCGATGCATTTGAACTTCACATCCCGCCTGAATCCTGTTGGAAAAATACAATTTACTGTTAAGCCCAAAACGTTCCAGCAGGGATAGATTCCCTTTAAACCCAACAAGGACAATAACAAATATCTTGAGCAAGGCCGAGCTTGTTTTACTCCAGGCGAGCTCTCTCCTTAGTGCAAAGGTATTTGCAAATGCTACGAGATTACGAAAACCCGAGCTAAGAGAAACCAAAGTAGGATCCCGGCAAGCTCGCCAAAAAAGCAGGCAAATTGTATACTCCCAGCCTTTTCCTGCACATCTTCCAGTGTGAGATGCTGCTGAGCCTCAGTTCTTGGTCAACAGAGATTATACCGACTATAGCCATAGCGCCAACTCAAAGTCATCATCAATTGTTGCTTGTTGCTCTGATTGAATTTGTGCATGTTATGCTACTAATTGTTGCTTTTTGTTTGGATGTTTGTTTGTTTGTTTGATTGATTGATTGATTGGTTCTCTTTGTTTGTTGGTTCGTTCGTCCAATGGTTGGTTGCTCGGTTGCTCGGTTGCTCGGTCGCTTGCTTCCTTGCTTGCTCGCGAATTTGCTTCATTGGCTGGCTGGCTGATTGGTTGGTGGGTTGGCTGCTTACTCGAGTTGTATCCAACATCGAATTCTGTCCCCGCGTCGTCCACCCGACACATCTCATCGTGCACAAGCTTTCCCAAAGCAAATCTAACACAACATGATGCGCCCTTGTTGCTCTCTGTGGCACTCGCTCCTCAATGCAGTTTTGCGGCTTAGTCTCAGGAAATATAGAATTTCCCTGCCAACGCTGCCGCTTGGCCCTAGCAATTGCAGGCACAAGCCACGGAATGGCGTTGCTTAACCAACTCTCTGAGCTGTGGCAGCCGTGGCATGCCGCGGCTTGCCGTGGCAATTGCAGTCAGTCTGTCGAGATGGCATACGCATATTATAGGTTTTAGAGCAATCCTCTCACACCATCTTCAAACGCAAATACTTGAACACCTTGAGATTTTCCGGACGTCCATGGGTTTTTCAAACACAAAATGTGCTTGGCTTTTCTGTGCTGCATGACAGGTGGGGATTTCTCCAAATCGTAGCCCCTGCTTTGGGCGTGTTTAAAGGGACACCAAATGAAGCAACCCATAATGCGTCAAATCAATTCTATCAAGTGCCATCCACTTCAGCCCAGGGATCGGATTCCGTTCCGGGTTGGAGTCAAATTCCGTACATCGCACACCCGGTGAATCCACGGAATCCTTCAGGAAATGCAGAGCTGCTGCGAACGGAGAGGCCGATCGACCCCAAAGCTTTCAGCTGACGGAACAAAACACCCGTTCGAAGCGGGCGCCACATGAGGTTTGTTGACCCTTCCTGCCATTCAATATGCCGCCAAAGAAAGGAAGGGAAAACGCCGCCCTTGAAAGCCACCCCAAAGTTGTACCCTAAGAAACACACAGACACAAACACAAACACGCAACGGGATGTTTTGTCCGAACCTCACGTTATGCTTTCGCCGCGGGGCAATGCCTTGCGCCGTCAGCTGCGTCCATCTCTCCACCGAGCCTGAAAGTGCCTCAAGCCGGGTCTGAGGCAATGAGATCAATGAAGCCCGGTGGCTACCACTATCCAAAGTAGAAAAAGGGAACCCCTTTTGCGGTGGACCAGCAAAGATGTGACAAGCGAGTATCGGGGTATATGTATATACATATATAGTGAAAAGATAGGTGCCTCTTGTCAAAAGGCGCGGGGCCCTCCGTTGACAGTTGGTTCATGCATTCTCTGGCATAGGATAAAGCATGTGCTTTTGGGGACGTCTGAAACTGCTACGAACGCCATAACCCGGACCCGGACAACATGTCAGGGCTGAGCCTGCATGAAGCAAAGCATCACATGCCAAAACGCCAAAGAGCCCCAGGTCCCCCAGCTAGCCCCATTTGGCAGTGACCATTCGTAGGTAGACATTCAGCATCAAAGTGGTAAATCGCTGTGTCTCAAACCGCGTACCCTTCTGGAAGGGCTTTAACTCAGCACCACACATGAACCATACATATGGAGGAGTCCCTAGTCTTGTCTGAGTCACACATGTCATCCTGTAATTGCCAAAACACTGACCTCTGATGATAAAACCGGAAAAGGGATTCGTCGGCCAACATGGTCATTCTGACCAATCCACGGTGAGATCACCCGCCAGGTACGTAGCGGTATCTGGATCCATAGCTGGTGTGCGGTCCAATGACATTGGATGCTTGTGAACCTCCGTTTCCTGGTGGCAATTCGGTGAGTGTGCCAAATGTTGTTCGCTTGACTACTGTAGATCTGGGCAATTACAAAATCCATAAGAGGCAGTAAAAGAACCTCCAGGAAGGGACCTTCACCATGGCACTTGTTTCGTCGGCGAATCCGTGAGCTCCTTCCGTCGTTGTACCTTGCTGACCATTGCCCTCTAAAGAGTACCCCAAATGGTGGTTTCCTTTTAATCTGGTGGAATAGGTCATGTGTTTCCTAGGGACCACAGACCATACATGAGTCACACTTAAAAAGGCGGCGGCACCTGTTTATGGATAGGACTGTCACTCACCAACCTTCACTCACCCGCATTTTGTTTGTGGCTCAAATGAAACAGCTTTGACCCCCAAAGACCTCAGATGATACGGCTTTGTGCCCCTAGGATTGAATCTTCAAACAACGGCAGTGGTCAATGACCGTTGCTCAGGTCAAACAATGCCCTCCACCCTCCGCCATCCCCACCTTGATCATCCGCAGATCGTAGTCCTTCATCCTGGTCCAGTGCCGAACGGTGCCATTCGTGCCGTTTGGTTTGGCCAAGCTGAATGGACTTAACATGCGTGATTTCATGGTTCCCGTCCAGAACGGTCCCCAAAAGTCCTAGCGGAGCCCAGATACTGAATTATGACAGTGGCGCTTCCCAACTAGTGCGATGAGTTCAAACTTTCGCCTAGTGAAGCACTGAAAACTGGACATTGCACACCAGCTACCCAGCCAAAGATCTTGACAATGCAACCTGTCTGAGGAGGGAGTCTTTTCCAGCCATCCCCACCCAGAGCAAGCCAAACAACTCTTTAAACAAACCAAAGCCTTGGGCCCACCCTGATTCTACAAAGATGTCCAACATATCAGATGCACAAATCGCTATTAAAGCACTGCCAATACAACACAACACAACAAACAAACACACAAAATAACAAGCAAACACGCAAACAAGCAAGCAAGCAAAGACCCACGCGAATAAATAAACAAACAAACAAACAAACAAACAAAAAGCAAGCACGATTGCAAGCAAGCAAGCAAGCCAGCAAGCAAACAAACAAGCAAACACACAAACAAACAAACAAACACACCAGCAGCAAACAACCAAACAACCAAACAACCAGCAAGGCAGAAATGAAATAGTACATACCGAAATAACAAATAACAGACACATGGAAAACCAACAAAAATAGCACACATTCAAGCAAGCAAGCAATGGCAAGGAAGTAACCAAGCAAGATGCAAGCAAACAAACAAACAAAGAAGCACATAGACAAACAACCAAGCAAACACACACACACACCACACAAGAACAACAATGAAACAAATCGCCGCAAAGCACCACAACCACATGAACACACTGGCAAACATGAACACACTGCCAAACATGAACAGCTGGAAATGACATGTCCGTTCATCTTGGATCACTGACGCCAAGAGACTGATGCCCGATAGCCATACACAATGATCATATCGATCACAGGCAATGTTTTCATCCCAATGTTACATGGTGATATGTCCCTGAAATGACAAGCATTCTGTCAAATCTAGCTTGTTTAGATAGCTAGTTCAAACGCTGAAATAAGAATGACTAGCACCAGCCAGCATTGCTCAGCAAGCAGCGGACTCTAGTCGCAAGCACTCTCACTCTCTTTCTCTGAGGCCCAGGCATCTCGCGTATGTACCTGAGACCAAGGTACCAAGATGACCCAGGCTTGGCCAAAGATTGAAGGAACACATGCCCAGGCCCACCTGCATTTGATGTATTGTTCATCCTTGCCTGCGACAAGGTGCACCTTTGTGTTCTGAATGGTATGAGGCAGCGGTTCTTTGAAGAGTGGTGCCTTGAAAGAGGTTGGCCAAACATACACACTGAAATGCATCATCCATTGTTGGCGGCATGTGTTTGCTTTGCAGGGCGTGCTAGTTCTACTTACATGCTATGACAAAACACTGTGAAGGAGCTAGATGCCACATTGAGCCGATTGAAATGGGACAAGTGAATCGTTGCCACTTGACCAGGCAAATTGGCAAAACGGCCAGCTAGTGATCCCAACGTATCTTGAGCAAGGACCAAGGCTGGGCTGAATTCCCATACAACAGTAGACCATGCATGTTTTCACTTAATTACTTGCAACCCAAATGTCCCCAATATTGAACTGGAGTTTTGACCAATTCCAAAACTCGTACTCATCCAGTGATTTCTCCCGACCAATGCTAAGCCGCAGGCAATACTCAACCAAGTTGCAAACCAAGACAAATCCGATCAAATTCCAGTAAATTGTGCTGTTCAAAGTCCTGATTCAACAAATGCCTCTTCTTGGGAGGGTACCGTTGCCGGGTTGATATAAAGGGAAACAAACAGGACAACGCCCCTTTAACCGTCAGAACCAAAACCTGGTAATTATTGGAGTCGTCTACACAAGCCCATGAAGAATCAGCACCTCAAGCCAGGCCACTTCTTCATGCGGGTGATGCGGCCGTTGTTCTCCTGCAACAAACGTGTCTGAAAACAAGGGGTCCCAAAATGGTCCCTGCAAGGGCCCGGTTTCAAGCAATGGGCGAAACGCAACAATGGTGGGTTTCCCTTTGGTCTCAATTGTTCAACAACTCCAAAATGTTACACACAAGCACGGCATAGCCAGGGAAAGTTCAAATATCTGCTAGATATTCATCACGGCTAAACGTTGCAAGTGAGAAAACACGGAAAGTGGGCAGCTCATTGGTGAATCACTCACCTGAACAAAGGTGAGCAATTCTGCGCAAACCATTTTTTCCAAGACAAGAAAGAGAAACACTTCATCTATCATGAAGCCGGCTTGATTCAACCTCCACTTAAGATCTTCAAACAGGTGTCCTGCGGAGTTGTCATCCCATGCAAGGTACGCATCAAAGAGATGTCGATCTCTGGCAAGGCGTCTGATTTAATTACCCTGTAGACAAACGACACCTTGTGGAAATGTTGTGCAGCAGGGACACGCAATCTGGCTGCCATCCTGCGGCGTCCCTTCACACCCAATTAACAAACGAGCCCCGTCACATTTGGGCGCACAACCGACAAACTCTTACACACCCAATCCTTCGCGAGACTGCTGGCACCAAAATGATCAAATGATTGACTAGTGGAGCAACATCGACTCTTACGTTGTCCACAATAACATTACCCACCCCCCCCCCGGCCCCCCAAAAAAAAGGACTCGCGAAACCGATATCTAGCCGAATTGTATCCTTCAAGGGGCCCTGTATCTGACATTGTACTGCCGCTTCACAAGGTGACAGTAAGGCGTCCAAATCAAAGCATCCTCTGGAGGATGGAACTTGCATTCGCCTTCTTTCTCTTGTAAACAAAATGATTTAGAATGATGGAACGATGACAACCGGCAATGCGTTTGACCATTGGGCATGAATGTCAATTGACCCTCTAGGAGACATCGTTTCCTGGATTTGTGTCCACTACCGCTTTTGCGAGTGTTCCAATTATCAACGCTCATAGCCAACACGCGTCACTTCGATTCCCGGGCCCTCGGGAGGTCAGTCCTCCTCGTCTCTCTGCTCAGGAGCCAAGAACATCTCCTGCATCGGATGGGCTTCTGACCCAACCTGAATCCAGCACCCAACAACTGCTTTTTTGCTGATTAAGGCACCACCTGCCGTCCAACAAGCAGGCGTTCGAGGGGGCATAAGGTGATGAACAACAATCTTGCTCTTTCCGCCTCAAGGGAGAGGGGCTGGGAGTGGGAGGGAGACGGGCTGGGAGTGGGAGTTCCACTTTCCGTTTGCTGCCAGCACAGGTGAGAATAGGACCCAACAGAGAAATCATGGGATTGCGCTTCCCATTGTTTCATATTGAAGGAAGTGGGAAATCTGTCTAGTAGTTTCCTCATGTCTCAACAAGCTGGGTCCGGCAGGATTTTTCTTTGCAAGGCATCCTGTTGAGCCGACCATTAAAGCTTGCTTCTTTTGAAGGACATGAGAAAATGAGCGCGTTCCACTTTGCAAGCAATTTGTGCGAGTCCCCCATGTCCATCCAAACGGACCATAGACTATAGACTAATTTTGACCGAACCTCAACATGTCGGAGAGCACAATGTACAGAATGTCCTAACTGGCCGGAGTCTTGATCAATTTCTTGGGATTCGGAAATAAAACGGAACATCAAGCTTGAACTACACAATTGTAGTTGCAAACAGGGTCGGCTCCCCAAGGGAGCAATATCAGTATAAGTGACATAAGTGATGGCCAAGTGAGACCAGTGGAACGCAAATTCCTAGCTCAATGGGGCGACAAAATCCATATGTCCAACACTTCAATAAAGAAATAAGAAATGGATGATCAAGAGGGCCTTCATCATGCGGCTTGTTTCCCCCAGTCCTTTTGCAGTCGACAGAACAAAAGGTGACTTCGGGAAGTCATCCTGACGCAAATCTATAAGGACAACCAAAAGAACACACCAACAGGAAGCAAAGTACCTATACTGCAAGGAAGAGAAAGCTCACCTCCTCATTTGGGCTAGTCTCAACAGGCCAAAACGGCCGCCCTCACAAATAGACCAACCCTTTTTTTGCCGACCAACTGAGCCACAGTCAAAGGATGTTGTTAAAGTGGCAAATGAATTAATGCAAAGTTTTAAGAAATCAAAGGGAACAGATCTTCGCCCCAGTTTTGGGCCTGTCCCGCGCCCGCCGATGGGTTGATTATAGCTCAAGTCATCTCATCCGTCCTCCTCAACTCCCGTCTCGGTGCCTTGGCCCGTTTCGGCAAGGCCAATGTGTGTTGTAAACCGGGGCTGGCCAACATGTGCTTGAACATTCGCCGCAAAAAAGCGTTTTCCTTGTACGGTTCCCATGATTGAATTATGGTGTATCACTCCTGAATGTGCCTTCCTTGGGGGGTTCCTATTGCTGGTTCTGTGTACCTTAGATCTACTGGTCGGAGACAACCGGACTCCGAATCAAGACGCGCAGGGCTTGCGAATCATTGCAAGCTGCCAGTGATCCTTAAAAGAGACATAGGGTGCCCAGGAAAAAAAAATGGTGGTAGAAAAGACAGTGCCTCGACTTTTGCGAGATCCCCTCCTCAAGATCGGATCTGACAAAGCAGTTCGGGCAAGCTGGTTAAGAAAATAACAGGAAAGGTATTGGGCTAATACTGTACATGAGGCTTGGAGCATCCTGATGTGTGTACACTCGATGTCACAGCTGAATCATCCAGAAATAAATACATATGCACACTTACCCCAAACAACAACTAAAACTACCCTGTTCACGAATCCGCGTGGCTTTGTGGAAACGCTGGCAATACTGAGTGTGCTTGAAGCCCGCGGCACAAACATTAGGTGCGGTAGTTTGCGCGGCTTGACTATCAACTGTCAACCAGAGTTCCAAAACAACATACTACCAAGCAGCAGTAGAATGAAGCGACACCAATGCAGGGGTGCAATTAAACTAACTGTCCGACCCTTCTTGCTTCCAGAATTCTTGCAAGTTGTCTCCAGTTTTCAACATGACACGGTTGCAAACCTTCAAAACAAGCAACTACCGAATCATCGTGGACGTAACCATTTGTTGCACAACTTATGACATATCTTGGGTTGTTGTCCCGTCCAGTTGCAAACACGGCACACAAATAAGCCAAGCTGGTCGGTGAGTCATAATCGTCATATAGGTCCCGAGGAAGCCACTGAGTTCACAGGCATGGGGGTGAGCACCAAGTGGGTCATACATGTTTGCTGAATACGTCCAAATCTCCGAGAGGGGGCCAGGTTGGCTGAATCGAACACTACTCTTTTCCCGGGCGTGCTGAAACAAACACACATGTCCGAACCAAAGGATGCTTGGTGTCTCCTGTCAAGAAAGCGTGATCTTGCCGATGCCAAGCGGCAAAACCAGAGGTAGTTTTGCTTCCACCCCACAGATGCCACGTCCCGCAGGATTGCCTGAATGCATAGCACCTGGGAAAGGCGGAAAACTGAATGGTAGGCGAACGCAAACCAAAACACAAGTCCTTTGTGCCAATTCGGGGATCTAACACGAAAAACCCGACCCCGGCGATTGTGGTGGCTATTGAGAGCCTCTTCCAAACAGGGCATTCTTCTGCTACATGCGCTTCGAACACCACTAAATCACTATCTGTAAGACCTTGCGAATGTGCCTACCATCTGTTGGAAAGAACCCTCAGAGGAATCCTTGAAATGGGACGGTCTGGGCGCATCATGAAACCGATACATTGAGAAATAAAAAGTCATGAAATCACACTTGGCAAGCAAACCTGCTGTTGGGAAATCTGATGCAAGTTAATGGCTGATTCGAACCCATGTTGAAAGGCTCCATGTTCTGACGGGCCAATTGCCAACACATGTTTGGATACAATTCTCCAATGCATGTAGCAATGGTGGTAATCTTTTGGTAGTGTTTTGAAGGAACACCAACCAAATGTTGGGTTTCCCCATCTTGAGACAAACCCGACTAGACACAATAGTCCCAAATAGTTTGCAGTGCTCAGCTCACATCGAGCTTGTTCAGTGTAGCATTCAAGCGGTGAACCCGACACAGACACCAGTGAAGTTATGCCTTGGTACAAACCCAATAGTCGATGGTAAGCTTCACCTCAGTTGCAACTTGACTCGAATGGGGACCCGCGATAAATCAACTGGCTGATGGACGCGTGACTTCCAATTTCGAAGGGATGCTTCACCTGTGGGGGCAACTTCCCACAATTAGCTCCACAGCCTCTACTTGGATCAGAGAATCCATCCCAACTACTCAGTGATCCATCTGTACGTTAACCATTTCCGATGAATCCTGCAGCCACCAAACCCAAAGGGACGGGTGGAATCCGCTGAACAATTCGGCAACATGACTGGTCCCAGGTGTCGTCGCCATGTGGAGCCCGACTAGCATCTTAAGATCCCGGCTGCGGAGGCAGGGTAGATGGCCTCGCTTTGCCGGACTCACATGGCCGAAGCTTGCAACATCACAGTAAGGAATGAGGAAATGTTCACAACGTAAACCATCCAAGTGGTGGTTCTTTTTCAGGGGATCCCTAGGTTCCCAACACCTACCGTGAGACCAGGCCGTGGCCGGAGGCCGGGGTAAACTCATCCCGCGAGATAATGGCTTGGGAAGCCTTAAAAGCCGTTAAGTCTCTAAGACTTGGACTGGAGTTAAACAACTTTAATAACTCCCAAGATATGGTCCTATTCCCTTCCACTTGGTCTAATCAAGAGTTGCCGTCCCTCGATTACACGGTAGGAGCAACAGATTTGGACAGTTGTAAGCAACAAATAATCATTGTCATCTTGTTCATCCCTCTCGCTCCTCGCCATATGATGACTAATCGAAATGGAACGGGGAAACAATACATACAAACAAGTGCTAAATGGATGATATCTTGCTTTTCCCACTGGCTGGCATAAATTTATCATCCCTTCACCTACAAGAAATTCCCGTGCAGATCTTAGTACCATGATGTAAATGTAGGTTTGGGTCTTTGCAGCCGTGGAACGGGCTGGTGAATGGGTGCACAGGATGGATAAAGAGATAGTATATGACTGGCTTGTCTTCCGCATTCTTTCTTGGCTTCCGCATTCTTTCTTGGCTCACATGAGTTAGTTTTTAGGAAGGCACTTTGGGTTATCAATTGGCCCATCTATTCGTGGGTCAGTCCCGAACCTGAGCCATTGGCTCAAATGGGCGTTTTGGGAGGTTCGGTCCAAACATTGCATATCTCATTTCCTGCTTGTAACTAAGCTTTATCGATTTACATGCGTACGGCTCATAATTGTAAACGTGTTTGCTTCTTCTTTATTGTTGTACAGGAGAAGCCTTGAGGCAGCATGCTGCCGGAGGCCCAAACAAACAACCCAAAGGGAAACACAGTCTTAACAATCATAGCACCGCCTCTCCTGGTTTATCTTACTGGATTGGCAGCTGCGAGAAGCATGCGGAATGTCTCGCAACATGACCGAATGACCAAAACGGTATGGGTTTGTCTGCAAAAAGGGGAACACCAAACAAGGTTGGTTTCCTTTTGACTTCCCTTTAAATACAATTATTTTGAGACATAGCCTCTCCCTCGCTGGGCGCATGACACTGAGCCAAATCGTCAAGTACCGCGTCTCGGCGATGACGTACACCAATGCGATGTACAGCCCAACGATGAGAGCCTTGGGCGCTTTCAGGCCTGCCGCATGGTTGTTTTAGGACAAAGTGCTGGTTGTTTGTTGTTTTTGTTGGTCTGTGTACCTGTGTGTCTGTCTGAAATTGCTGTTTGTTCGGATGCAATTGTGAAGAGTGGATCTCGGTGTAAGAATCAAAATTGCACAAGTTTGACGGTGTTGGTTCGCATCTGTGTACGTTGGACGTGATACGTATGTTAAATGCAAAAAGAGGACTGTGAGCAACCTTGCCAATTGGTGCACTTGTGTGACAAGCAACAAGTCCTGTCACCCACAAGGGGCATGTCTATTGGAACTCACTTCTTTGCAGGGGCATATAGTAATGGGTGATTTTCTCAATTGTGATCCCCTAGAGCAGCTGGTATTCCTTTGGCTTCGCTTGAGCTACCAAACGAAAGGGATGCACCATTTTGTGAAATCGTACATATATATATATATATGTACACAAACGCACAATGGCACACCGTTTAAACGCGTGACATATCTGCTGTAGCTTCGAAGGGATGGCGCTGCACAATGCTGCTTTCCGAGCTCCCGAAAATGGAGAGGCAGCACATGTGCACAAATATGCCACAATCAAAAGTCCTTTGTGCATGAGTAGATCGCAGATTGGAACAGAAAGCCTCGAAATGCGCAAATGCGCTGAGGATTTGAGGGAAGGGACCTCGGGGCTGTGCCGTTTTGTGCGTTCTGTGTCTCAGCCTTCCCTGGTCAACAGTACCAAGGTAACGGAACCGTGCGAGGACCAGATCCGACGAACCTGTTGCTGAGTCGGTCTAAGCCTTAGGCGGCCAGGGCTCAACCTGACCAACCATGAATCATGTCGTGTTTTCCCCGAACCAACACCAATCTCATCCATAGCTGAAACATGCGACGCACCCGTCTGTTCACGCTGAAGGGACTATCGCCACACGTCAGCGCATCTAATATTCAACAGCAAAATCTATCCTGGCGTAGTCTTTGCTGGCTCTGGTTTTTGTTTCCGTTGAGCCAGCGGAGCCACTGTGACAAAGCAGGGCCGCAAACCAGGGTATATTGCAGGGCTGCTCCTTCGTCACACCAATTCATCACCCAACCAACCAATCAAGCAGCCCATCCAATCAATTAATCAATCAATCAACCATCCAAAAGAACAAAACAAACAGCATCTTGTCGAACTATAAACCATCCAACCGACCGACCGACCGATCAACCAACAAACCAGCCAACCGAATCAACGGGGACGCGTGTTCGACGTGATCAATTCCTAAAGCCGGGCAGCTGTTAAGAGGCACCACCGCCACCAGCTCATTGTCAGGATCCCCTCCGGAGCGCTCGTGGTTTCAAGTGGCACGAAATGGAAATCAAAAGGTACAGTTTAAAAGGTAATTCAATCGGAGACTTTAGGTGTCCTTCTTGACATTAAGGTTCACTTCAACAGTGCGTCTTTTTGAGACTTGCCTTTTGTGCAGTGGTTTCAAGAAAAACCAAAAGGAGAACAGCCATTTTCCTTTTCGAAGAGTCCACCATTTGGAGACAAACCCAGGAACCAAGACCGGATTCGATGCCCGCCATGGTTAGTCTAGTTCGCTATATTGTTGGTGAATCAACCTTGAAGCTGAAGACTGTGGTGATGCCCAAGTCCTCCAAAGAAATACAGCCATGAGGGCGATAATGGACATTGCCAAGCCATGGGAAGATTCGAAGGAAGAGGTCATGTAGCTCTTAGGCAACTGCAGGCAGGAACATCTGGAAACGGGCTGTCTGCAGATGTGTTTGTTTTTGGGAGTGTGATATAAGGTAAGGGACCACACAGTTACAATCATTTTTGACCCATGATCACGGCATCACTTGCCACCCCGGTCTAGGGTTCGCAACTCCGATGCCTCCAAACTGCATAATGGCATGGCCATCGCTGGTATGAAGATGCATAGGCCAAAACAAAAAACCGGTTAATTTTTGTTCAGGAGAGCGCAAGGCCACTGACCTTTCTCTCCACGCCTGGCGGATGTGCACGAAGCCGGAAGATTTGAATTTTGGGCGCAGGAAGTAGCCACTGCCTCGAGTCTCGATGCGCTTCATACGTCTATGGGCCAAAGGCAAACGAGCAGAAAAGGCTAAGTGCGATGATGCAAACCGTTCCAGTTGGATGAGCTGCGCCCCCCACCAATCTTACCTTGATGGCTTCCATCATGTAGTGCTGTTGACAGCAATTGGGTAATGGTCAATATCTTGTAATTCGCGGACCTAAACTAAGCATTCCCAAAAACCATCCAAAAGTCGTGGGCATGATCGCAAACCAAACCCTCCGGCAGGTCGCGATGTCACTGCCTTGGAAAAAACAACAACAACGCAAACATTCAAGTAGAAATCAGCGCCCCTGAAATGGTGCTGTGTGGCTTCCTGGAAAACAACCTATAATATCACCAAACCAACACGGCACGTGTATATATATATATACATCAAAGGGACTAGCAGGTGATGTCTAAAACATCCTTTCAATCGGATATATCTAGGGAACACTGGATACATTCGTGTGGTTTCCCTTAAAAACCCGCCGTTTTGGAATCACCACTGGAAAGAGACACCCGAAAGAAACCCATGTCCCACACAGGATACCCGGAAAAAGGGACACACCCAGGAAAAAAGCTCGGGCAATCGGTCCAAGCTGCAGATCCGGGCCCTCTCCTTGAGGAAGGTACACACCTGACTCAAAGGTTTAAGCCACCAAAGATTGAGCAACCCTTGGGTACCCTGTTCGAAGCGGACTTAGTTGTTGGCTTAAACCTCCTCTTGTTCCCCCTCAAAGGGGTACTAATTGCTCATAGCAACCTTCTTTTGGTTCCCCTGTCAAAGGGTCCCTGCCGGGCTGGGGAGTCAAAATCAAAGGTGTGGATGCCTCAGCGCTTGTAAATGGCTTGCCATGTGCTGGAGGCCACAAGAAATGGCGTGACAAGCAATTCCGCCCGGTTTCTCTATTGCAAATATATTTTGCTTGAAGAGAGTGTCCGTTCGACGCTGCAACATATTACACGCAACCAACAACTGGCTGTCATGATGTTCCTACAATGTGGATGCTTCTCGATGGAGTCTGCTTCGGATAAACAAGGCTTGAGAAGAGTCCACTTCATGCTTTCCAGGTTCAGTTTAAGATGTGAGTTCGCAGCCGCCTGGACATGCAGCACTTGAAAAGAGCACGTGCGGTGTGCTCGTGAGCAGTGTGCTCATCTTCTTGCAGGCTCGTGACAATCACACGCTGTATAGATTCCACTGCCACATGCATTGCACGTTACAGAGCAGCCTCCCTTTTAGGGAATGATTGCAATTCCAAATGCCATTCATTGGCGCTTCTTTGGACCAAAAGGAACCGTGGGTGGTGGGTGGATCTAAAATCCTGGCGCAGGAAATGCATTGCGTCAATTCTCAAAAATACATCTCCCCAAGACATCCAAAAAGAGGCCATGCTGCAGCCACCATTCCACCATTTGTTCACCCCACAACACCGCAATGCGAGATTCCCAAAAACTTCTCCTTGCCCTCCTTGCCTTCCTGCTCTTCGACTTGGGCCCTTGGGTTCCAGGCCATCCGTTCCTGCTCCTGGTCGTAGCAGTCGGAGAGCACGGCGATGAAGACGTTGATGGTGCAGGTCAGAAAAATGAAGACTCCGCCTGCCGGCCGGGCCGCCGGTCGCCGACTCCGATCTTGTTGGCCAAATTCCTGCACCAGTTTGTCGGTGGTTTATCCCGTAGGTTTTCATCCATGACCATCCATCGCAACTGCGGGATTCCAACCATCAGTACAGGAAGCAAAGGAGCCAATAAACAGTGCTTCAAGATTGGGGCGGCGATTTAGAGCCGGAAGCGCTTTGCACTGCTTTTGCTCGTCTAATGACCAAACCCTGTATACAAGAACCAGGAACATCTGCGCCTTCACCAGTTTACTAAGACGAGTTCTGTACTGTACACCTTGCCATGCCTATGCTTTTCTTTTCTGCGTGGGGGATCCTGACCTCTGCCCTTGGGCTTCGTCAGATCTAGGATTTAAGCTGGGCCACATGGGCCAGTCTGGTTGGCGCCGGGGGGGACATCTACCTGCAACGTCTAGGGGTTTATGTACCCTAGCTTTCAGGGGGTCATCCAGTAAGGCCTGGGGGTCATGTTGCAAAGGGCATCAGTCCAGTCCCAAAGCATCACCTTCCAGCAAGCAAGCGATTTGGCATCGGCCAAATGCTCCCCAGCCTATGGACAAAATGATCATCGCGTTCATCATACCCTCTTCCATCCTGCGGAATGGGGCCAGCAATGTTGGACCCAGAACCTACTAGAAGGTGCGTGACTCTATATTGCTTCAAATGATGTGTTTGCGGACTGCGTGGCAATTCGAATTGTGTGTGGCGCTCCCTGCATGAACTTGCCTATGGTGCATTGGTGCATGTAATCCAACATCGCACTGCTTGCTGCAGCATGTGATGTGCATTCGCATGTCTCCTCACCCAACAAGGTAGTTTTTGTCTTTTCGATATTGGCGAGGATTTGAACAACATGACCATAGCCCTTTCAGGGAGATCCAATCAAAGTTGTCCCAGTGGCACATGCTGACACATTGGCAGCGAACACGAACAGTGTCCGGTAGCTGTAGCATGAAATGCATGTAGCAACTCAGTTGGCGTGGATGTGGAGCAGATTGGATCGCGACATCGTGATTCGCAAACTTGCAATGCGAGTGTCCGCTGTGAGGCTTGGACTGAGTGCTTCACTGAGCTTGGGCTGCCAAGCGCAGGTCCGTAGAGAAAGAGCATAGCTCTTGCCCTTTTGCCTTCACCTCTCTATGGCCTAAGACCGGTGACATGGATGAGCTCGGGACAACCAGATGCCCAACAACTGTAGCGCAAATAATCCACCAGAACTCTGTGTGTGTGCGCGGGTGTGTGTGCGCGGGTGTGTGTGTGTGTGTGTGCGTGTGGCAGAGCGTGTGTTTGTGTGCAAACGGGTTGGAATTCAGCTGTTCCATTCTGTCTGCGGCTTTGCTGCAGGGCTCCTGAGCTGTCTGAAAATTCAATGCAAATGCCCTATATGTTCATATTGTCTAAATAATCTGTTAACAACATTAAAACTTTGCCAGACTGTCTCTTCAAAAGCCATGTGATACCATGTGGCTCTGCCAGTTTTGAGGGCACCTCGCTTTGGAATTGTTTAAAAGGGAAACTATCCACGTTGGAGGTTCCCTTTCTAAGACAATCCCAAGTATCACCTCGACAGGCCGCGCTCGGGTCCCGAGAAGGTCTTCAGGGGACAAGAACTGCTCGCCCGTAAACAGCAGCACCACGATGTTGAACATCGAAATCGACTTGGTGCGTATGACGTGATTTCTCTCAAACAGTGGCCCCCAACTCCGGGTACACCAAACAGTATGCTCAGAGTCTGCTTCATTCGTCTACTCACGTCCAGAAAATGGGACACCTCCAAGAAACCAGTGGTTTCCGGTTGGTTTCTTTTTGCCCAACCGCGGCAGCTAGGTCATTGAACCATACTCCTCTTCTTTTTGAGGGTAACCGTTCCTGCAGGGCTGCTGGGGATAAATATTGCTTTGGCCTGGCCTTTGCATCAACTTGGGGCTCATGCTAGGAATTCATATTGGGCCTGTCTCAAGACTGGAAAAACTCAAAAATGGTTGGTGTCCTTTTGGTCTCCCTTTAACACCAGCTAAAACTGGAACCCCAAACAAAGGCTCACCCCACTCTTGGTTAAATCATGACTCACCAACCTGAAAGAAATGCATCGCCACCCGCAGGCATCCCGATGCGTTGAAGCAATAAAACTCACTCCTCTTCGGTTTCCCAAACGTATCTCAGCAACTTGTGGGGAAATCCGTTAAGTCCCGACTTGAAATGAACGTGAAATAAGACATGGAACGCCAAGAATGGAACCGTCATGTGTGAGGTGACAAACCCCAGGTAGGTCTGGTCGCTATACCTGAGTTTATCTCAAAGGAGGACTTCAAACCTGGATATCATTGCTTTTTTTCGTGTCCTCTCAAAACCGCACAACCATGGATGGAGTTTCACGTCAATATCACCCACCTGCACGAAGCCTTGCAATTGGCCCCAAAAGGTGGCATTCACAACTGACAAACATGAACCCCTGCGCCGTAGTGATAGTGGGAAGCCAAAGCAGGTTGCAAAGCGCCAAACCAATGTCTTTCCTTTCACACTATGAATTCAATCGTGATGTGTCAACACAGAACAGGATATCTTTGGGGTACGGTGTTTAACCAAATAATGCTTGAGCTGCGCGAAGCTTGGATGTGCCACGAAAGTATTGACCCTAAACTCACCAGGATGTGTGACAGTGCATTATCATGTGTGCATTTGTTTCACCATACAACATCGGTAATGTCAGCGCGAGCTTAGTAAACCCCCCGATTAAAGGTTTCCCCTTTTCCCTCCCAGATTCCCACCAATACTAAAGTAAAGAGACAACAAGGTTTGCCCAAAAAACCTACTCAGTATATTTTCGTGTCTCCTCAAACCCCCCCCGAGTAAAGCTATCCCCCTGCAGCCCCGAAGCCAAAACAACCTGCCGGAAAAGGGCCTTTCCTTTTTGCTTAGTATTTGCTTAGTCTGTCCTTGAACCCACCAATACTAAGTCACTAGTGAACCCTTATTTTTTTCCCCAAAAATGTGCTTCCCCAAGAATGCATTTTCTTTATTAAACGTTGCTTGACATGACAAGGTTTTCAAGCTCTCAAAGGGGACCCCCCCCTTAGAGGCTATTGCCCAGAAGGGGCCAGAAGTAAGAGGACGAGGACGGTTTTTTTAGGGTCCTCCAAACAATCTCAGTATTGGGGACTTGCCCAAACCTTGTTGACCGTGAAGGGGGGGAGCGGTTTACTAATCAGTTCGAACCATTATAGCCTGTCTGGGCACTCCAGCTGCCAGATCCGATCCCAAAACATGAAGGGCATGCCGAACAAATCGAGGCAACACGTCCAAGGCAAAATGCAAAGTATGTCCTTTAATAGAACGAGATTCTTTGCAGAAATTCCAAAGGTTGTCCAAATTCAAAGATCGAACTTCAGCGAGTTTGTGTATTCTTAGTTTGGGGGGGTGGCTAAATCCAAAGGCTTACCTGCTGAGTTGATCAGCCAGGAAAAGTTGGGCGTTGACTAGTTACTAATTCACGAAGAAACCCCGCCAGCAAATACTATAAAGTTCACCATCTGAACGGGCAAGAAGGAACTGATGAACGAAGCGATTGGTGCCCAAGGAACTCCAAGGTGTGATGAACTCAAACAGGAACTGACGCTCCTTGTTCAAGCGAGAAACTTCTTTCTGGAGAAACCCCGAAAACACAGAGTTCCAGGATCAGTGAAGTTGAGGGTGTGTTTTTTAAGGGCACTCCTTTTCGGATGGTTTTCAAGGGAAGCAAAAGGAAATCCACCAATGTGCAGGGGTGTCCCCTATGCAGTGTCCCCTATTTTAGACGTGTTCAACGCAAAGATGGCGCTAACAAGCGAGATCGCAAACCCGCGGCTTGTCGCAATCTCCACACGTGACAAGCCGGGGCGCATTGATGCCAGACCGATCCATGGCCCAAAACGCGTGCATGAAGGCCAGGCTGATAAACAGCCTCGGCTTCCAGACGAACCCCGAAGGCTTGGGAAAAGAGGAAAAAGGTCGATGGGTAACCCAGTATTCACTTATTATTGTGCTTCATCTATTTCCTGAGAAATTGGGCACAAGACCTGTGATTTGAGTGCAAACCGATCTTGACCAAAGCCGCCAAATATCCACTGGGGGAATGGCTTTTGTTTAACGTTTGGGACAGGCCGGTCCTTGCCGGGTATGCCTTTGAGGCACAACAGCCAGCACCACAGAGTTGCCGAAAAGGGTTGGACACCTAGTTGCATTTACCCCAAGCCTCTTCAGGTGGCTCTCTTATCTGCCGAAAACTTTGCGGAACATAGGTAAACAAACACAGACATGAGAAAAGAGGGAGCATCGTCCAAATGTCCAAGGTTTACGCAACATGTTGTGGCACACCGGCACCCAAGTATATATATATATATATACACATTACATATATGTATATATGCATTTGGGTGCTGCTCTTTTTTTGTTCATTCCATACTGTCCCCCAGCGCATGGGAAGCACAGGAAAGCGAAAGCCCGGAAGCCGAGCGAGCGGAGCTTTCCGAGCTACATGATGACCAGCATGCCCACAATGGGCAAAACGGACTTCATGATGGGAAGTATCCTGGCGCTCGGCTCAGCAAAGATATTTATACAATATATAACAACTTCCCCCACAGAACCTGTACATATCACGTTCATATTAAATATGTTGTGATTCCCCCCACCCCTGGCGGGTCCCCGGTTCGTGCTTCGTGAATTCAACTCCCGCATTTAACCCATGCAAATGATGCTGTCTCTTCTCACTAAGTTGCTTCCATGGAGTCGTTTGCCTGTAGATGGTGCTTGTCCAACGAAGCTGGACATTCATGCTCAACCTGGTGCCGTGACTAAAATTGGACCTCAACGGAACACTGCACTGGAAGATTAACCTGTTGACTGCGGGCAGGTTGTCGCCAATGGCAGCGTGGAATTGTGGAATTACTGCACTGCCTTTTAGGTCAAGCAACCTACAAAAAAGGAATCGGGTTGTGTTATAGAACCGCACAAGAACCGTAGCGTGTAAGAACCCGTGACCGAAAACACAGTGTCCGAAACCCATGTTGTTTGCCAGAGCCTCCTTTTTTTCCGGTTATTTGTTTTACGTACAAGTTGTCATTCCGTGGCTCGAATCAATCCATTCCCTTGTACTGTTGCAGGTTTGCCCAAGGCATGTTTCGCCCGCCATTCTCAACACGTTCGAAGAATGTGCCTGGGGACCCAAGAGTATGTCCTGCGATTTCATCCAAGATGATTTGTCAATCACAATACTTTTAGGAGTCATAACAAAATACATTCTAAACACTTATCACTTAAAAAACGGGGATTCCATGCAGCGCTATCCCACACGACACGAAAAGGTTTGTAAGTGGATTCAATGATTCAACAGCAAAACATAGCTGGACGCAAATAGCAGTGATTGAAGCCCTGCTATTCGCTTGCTTGTTCATGCACTGCTGGGTACATAGCTCAGCCCGGCTTTGACAAACCCTTCATTTGATGGTGAGAAGGTGACCTCTCAACTGACCAGATCAATTTCAGGATACCTGACGGCTGGTTTGGTGGCGTGCTCCTAAAACAAAGCAACTAGCCGCGCTTCCGCCACTCCCATCCACAATCCTGCGCCCTGTGGAGCGAAACGCTCGGATCCTGAGCAAGCGCAGTCTGCGAATCAGTCACGAAAACTCGCTGACACCTCAAATAAACTCTGCGAAATAAACGTCGAAGCTGACAGGGTCCTTTTGACACGGCCGCTGTTGGTTCTCAAGCAAGCACTGTTGCATGTTGAAGTGGTGCCATGTTTTCTCCTACTACTTGGAATACCTGGGCCGCCAACTGTGGCCCATCTTGCGGCAGGAAAGCTGCCAAATGAAGAACAAGGCACTGATGCTGCTGCCCCCTCCCCCCCCAAACGGCTCAGCTGCCAGTTTGAGCATTGAACACTTGCTCGCTCAGACCCAAAGCACACCCTTGGTTGTTCTTTGTTTTTGCTTCCAACCGAATAAGCTTCACACACAAATAAGCTTGGCAGACCTTGTTACTTCCAAGCTTGGAGCTGGCAAGTACAAAAAACAAATGCACGGAGTCCAAGCAAGGCATCCGAACACTTGAAGGATTCCCTGCGCCTTGCTTTGCTGGGCATTCGGTTGTTTTGTGCAACACTTTGAAGGGCATGTATAGTGACCGATGGCAAGGAACACGAGAAGCACGAACTTGGGCGAAACACATTGTCACGTAACCCTGCTTGACCAGTAAATGGAACACCCCTCCGTTGAGATTTTGTCTATTTGGCTCTGCCAAAAAATGTTCCTGTAACGGCATCCAACCTGCAACTATGTGTAATTGCAGTTTGCCTAAGAGCCCCAGTTCCTGCTTCAACACAATTGCTTGCTGCACACAGCAATTGACCGATATCTCCCTTTCGAGAGATGTGTCACCCCCGCTTGCACAAGGAAAGGCTGACATCACGTCAAGGACAAGAACAAAGTCTACTCAACAGGATATGAAGCAACTGATAAACTGAGTGGTCCTCTGGTTTTTGAGGGGTATTCAGGTAGTCCCCCCATTTGCCGATATCAACCTAACCATGTTATATAAATCAGCTACGATGCTTAGTTGTTCATATGTTATCATACATCCTTTGTGGAACAACTTCTGCGCCAAGCACGTCCGGGGGAAAAAAGAAAAAAACAATCATGGACACAAGCCTGGCTTGGCTGATTTCAAGATCTCATGCAGAGGAAAAGCACACCAAACATGAAAGCAACACTAACAAAGAGACCAACTTGGGCAACCAAAAAAGCATTCAGCACTTCTAGATGGTTGCTTGATGTGTCCAAAGGATCGCCAAACAATTCAGAAGCAGCGGCTCGAACAGCATCGTGATCCAGTGCAGCAGGCTGTTAATGGAGAGCAAGATGGAGCCTTGCCAGGATTCTGGACATGGGCCGCACGAGTGTGTCTTTTTTCGGAGTACCCGGGTAAAGCGAAATAGCACACTACAGGCTGAGTTTGATTCGTCACCAAACTACAATGAGCATCCTGACTCTACACCTCGTTGACATGCCTGCGACATTACTTGGATAGGCCACACATAACAAGGTGTCTGCCATTGGGCCATGGTCATTCCCCTCAAAGCAATCCGCATCATAGTCTATAGATTCCTCTAAAGGGCTGCAATAACCGTCTCTATCATCCACAAGTGAAGGAAGTGGGTTGAGCCTGTGACATTCATCATCGTGCATCACGGGTTGTATTGATGAGGAACCCGGGAGGCTCATTGCCTTTTTCACCCCTTAGTATCAGGCCACTTGAAAGGCTACTGGTTTTCGCCCTATCTTGGGATGGATCATCTAGGGACGGATCCCCCCATCGACACCCAAAGACTCCTTTGATGATCCTGGTTGCCGAAATCTTAAGGGATCCACTCAAGACCTTAGTCAAACGCGGCAAGCCTCGACGTTGTCTCCAACTGCAGCACCATACTCACTGTTGCTGGTCGACCAACGCGCACGTTTCATCCGTAATCTGGTCAGCTTCAAGGCTTCAACAAAATAACTCCATGGAATATGGCTTGGAGATACACCGATCTTGATGGGTCGGTCGACGCTGACGGCTTGCTAAAGCTAAGACAGCTTCAGGCTCCTGAGCTTCCCAGGGAATGCGGACACGTTTCGAGCTGACACGCAAGTTGCCTCTTCAAGGGCCCTCGAACGGGTCCAATCCCGAAACCCAGCTCCTGCCTGCCTTCAAACCTAACTTAAGACCTAGCGGGCTCCTGGCTGGCGCTTTTGGTTGTTTTCTTTGTGTGATGTTTGGTGGTACAGTGCCATAGTGCGATTGCAGTCAACTGCCATGACTGAATCTTGGACTTGGAGCCCTAAGTCAGACCCTCATTTGTTTGTCGACTTGTTGTTTCTAAAGGATACAAAATGCAGGGGTCTATGATGGACTCCCGGCACCGGCGACAGGTGTGAACATGTGTTGAATCTCGGTTAATGATCAGCTGCGACGCATGTTTCACGCCACAAAGCACAGGTTGGAGGTCTACATGTTGACTTGTTTATATCGCGTCGAACAAGCGACGCCAACATTTCAGCTCGAGAGCATCCACCGCGATCCTGGCCCTTTGTCCAAGAAGCTGTTCTGCGATGGCTGAAAGTCCTCCCGGGTTTCCACCGCCAAGGCCAGGGCGCACACCCCGATGACAGCCCGGTAGGATGCCTTGGCTTTGTCGGTATGGGGAACCCCCAAAGGGTGGCTTTCCTTTTGATTTGCCTTCAAGCCAGGGTATACACCTTCAAAAAACAGACACACACACACACCCATACAGCTGTCATAAGTTTACCATGCAACTAGCTAGCAGGGAACCTGGTGGATTCCAGCTCAGCATTCTAACATGGGCGTGAGGCGTCTGCAAAATCAAACAATCGGCGATCACCTGTTGGCACCTGCCAAAGGGTCCTGGCAGGTAACTGGTCCAAACCAAGATTACCCTGGTTCCATGTTAGCAGGGACTCTGCACGCTCCGGTGGATGGCACCGTCCGTTTCCTAAAATCGCTCGTCCAAATCCGGTGTGCAACCTTGACTTGCATGCGTTATTAACCCTCTCGGAATGCAGAAAGATCCTGAGCAGGGCATCCAGTCACAAACCTGGATTGGATAGTAGGCTGTGCTCTGTCTGAGGATTTCTGTGATACTGCCCAGCACTCTTCTTTCGGCTCTCCTCTGTCGCAACGACCAACAAATCACACAATATTTTCCCAAATTGCCAAGTTCCGCATGTTCACAATCCTTGAACTGGCAATTTCCACTCATGCCTCAATGAAACTTACAACAATGTGCTGTCCATCACGGTTGCACTTTTGTACCATCCGCATTCGCGGTGGACACCCAGACCCCTAGGGAATGTCTTCTGATGCGCTTTTGCGGAGCCATGATGACGAAGCTCTATCCGTCTGAAATCATGACACTAAGTCTTGCGCTCACGCAGCTTGGAGGTGAGGCCAATATCTGAGGGTCCTCCGAGGGATGACATCGGGGCATAATCTCAGTCAGGTGGCACGTTTCATCCATTTGATCAGCAGCCTTCGACCTGGCCGACAGCACTGCGAGGCCTTCGGGCGAGGCCTATCGAGCCAACTCTCAGCCCCTCTCCCACAATCGACTCGGACGTTGACAGGCATGTTGTGCTTTACCCGGGTTTGATTGTATCTCTTGTCGGTTTCGCATCTGTCTGAAGTGCCACAACGGAATGCCGACGCACGGAGGAGGAGCCAATTGCAGCGGCTCGAGATACATCGCTGGGGTGTTGTGCTTTTTGCGGGTACATGAGGGGTGGGCATCCTTCTTGATTTGTGCAGGTTGCTCCAATTTGGAGAGACAACCCCACTTACCCAAAGGGTTCATGGTTCACGGCAACTTGGAACTTTGGAACCTCTGCGTTTACAATTCTGGGGGGTCTTCAGTCGGACCTCCACAAAGGCCTTAATACAAACCCAAAGACAGAACCGACATGTGAGTCCCAAGCGGCGGCCACTACCCGAGAGCACGGATTTAGTGCTTGGCAGAACTGCGTGAAGAAGAGTCTTTTCAGTGTTGCCAGCATGCGAAAAGGTATACATGCAAACCGGCGCAGGCTTCTTAGCCGGACACGGACCTGCGTGGACACGGTGGTGGGGGTGGGGCAGGCTTCATTGTCGGGGGCAAGAGTCTTCAAAACTCGCTCGTGCAAAACTCTGAGCCAAAGCGCTGGTATGGCGTTTGGTGAAACCATTACTCGCTTCGCCAAAGGAATCGAGAATCAAACAGTTTGCCTCTTGAAACCATTACCATGACAACAACTACGAGAACACAAGGTTAATGTCGGGCTTTTCAGTTGACTTTCCTGCGAACAGGAGCTACGCTCCAGCGAGCTGCAAAACTGCGTGGGTGGGTGTCTGACACGATACATGTCCCTCTAAAGTTCACTGGCAATCTACTCTTCAACAAACGAATGCTTCTTATGTTCATGTTGGTCAACACCAGACATGAAGACGGCGAATCTACACTGCGAACCGTACTATGACCTCGTTGAATGCCACTTGTACTCCTTCGGCAAGTAACACCCGTTGCGTGCCCCTCGCATCCCAGTCTGCCTCTCACAGAAACGAGTCGCCAAGTCAAGTGACTCCCACAAATAGATGTAAAGCGGTCAACTTCCCTTTTGTCCCCAACTGACCCAGAATTAGGTGAGCAACCCCCTACCCCACCCCGCCAGCTTCCCATTTTAAGTTGCTGAGAGTACCCAATGTCTGGAAGCATCACTTCCCCTTGGTTTCTATTTGTATAAATCGTCGAACATGTGACAATGAGAAGCCCAAACTCTGTGGATACTGACTCAAGCAATGCACTAACCACTCGCCTAGAGAATGGTAGCAGTTGATGCAGGTCCACACCTTGGTGAAGGGCAAAGCTCTTGCAGATCCCCACGTCGTCAGGGTGCCCCGGTTGCTATTCATGGGAGGGTATCCTTGTGGGGTTGGTTTAAAGCAACCAAAGGGAGTTGCCCATTTTGACACATATCCTTGATTGGATTTTAAGCGTGACTAACAATCTATAATTCCCAGAACATGGGTGGCTCACAACTAGGGTTTGATATGCTAACTGATTGATACTCATGATACCCCGACAGCAAGGAATTACAGAACATGTATGAAAATGTACTAAGCGGGGCCAGACCTGTGGACCCCTCTCCCAATAGTTGGATAAGGTCGCAGAATCATTGCAGGATGCTGGGCTATGAACGGTTGGACAGTCTCGTCAGGAATTGGTGGGCATAAATCCCCATGAACATGATGTCAATGATGTCCTCCGAGCGTCCGTCAACGCAACGCTTCCAAATTCAGACATCAAGCCTTTCTTTACACATAAGTCGTTATTGTACATACGCAAACAATGTGTGATCTGCCCCAGCTCGTTTTTGTAAGCTCGTTATCAATTTGGTAGCTGTGTGCCTTTGCCGAGCTTATTGGTGGTGCACTTGGTGCCCCAGTTCAAACTTCTTCATGGTAAATTCAGCAAGCCCCCAAACCATCTAAGTTTCCCAACGGGTGCAGTCAAACTTCGGGTAGCCAAAAACAACAACAACTTCCGCAACCTGCCTGCACACATGCGTCTCCTGTTTCTGCATCATCCCACACAAGGAAACTCAACATTGAACAGGCAACGTTTGAGCCAGCAAGACATCGGCATGTCTAAGCCGTCCAAAAGAACATGTTGTCTTCCACTTGAAGGTGCCACCGAAAATAATGCCCACTTCCCTTCGGCGTCGCAGGGATACCTTTGCAACATCTCAGGAAAACTGTTTTGCTCCACTGCTTGGTTGAAATTATTCATTTTGGACGGGGTCCTCTTTCCCAGTTTAGGACACAACCTGCTGGCGGTTTGCTCGATATTTCCTGGGGCCCAGGCATACATGATGCACTCGGCCATGCCCTCCGCTGCCAGCAGGCCCCACAGCCCACACCGCACTGTGGCCGGCGTATCTACCTGCAGTGCGCGCCCACGAGAAAGAAATGCAGCAAGGAAGGCCGCGCTCGTGGGGTCTTGAACAACTTTGTGTTTTGCTTGCGCAAATGAATTCGTCAGTTTGGGATTGCTCAAGGATTTTGAGGGGAGGCACATGAATGTCAATCTATGATCAAGGAAATGCCGCTCAAATGTTAGTTTGGAGATCTGTTGTCAGAGGTTGCCAGTGACACATCACCTACAGAGCTCGTTCTACTCGTTGCACTCGTTGTTCGTTGCTGAAAGATGGCCCAAACCAGGGGCCTCAGTCCGATCCCATCGCGGCGAATAATTCGGGGTGTGTGACATCTGGATTGACAGACTCAAAGCCCAAGAAACACCCCGCGAGAGAACGATACGCATGCAAACATGCACCTGTCTTGTCTTTTTGCTATAGTTGTGTTTTCTTGGACGTTGTGTTCTACAACAATTGGCTGGCAAACATCGGCTCTTGAAGCAGGATGCCTCAACGCCAAGCGGAATGTAGGAAGCAAGTGTCGTGAGGGATGATGTTCAAGCTATGCCTGACGCGGCCCGTTGAGCACCATGTTCGGGAAAGGAACACCAGAGTATGTCCCCTCCGAAGACTTCCACAGCTGTGCGATAGCAATCCATCTCTCCACTGAGCTTCATGCTTGCTCGACATGTGGAAGACTAAGACCAGCATCTGGCTCCCACTCACGCAGAATTGTCTGCTTGGCAAAACGAAAAAGCATTGGCTTCTTGAAGGATTTGATGAAGCGTCAAAGCTGGCGACCAGCATCACGAGCACACATACACACAGAGAGCCAGGCTGGCTAAAACCTGCAGTGGCCCCTACTATTGCTGTCATGATTACAAAATGCATGTTTTAGGTGACACGCCCCACCGGACCCGTGGAGGCGTTTCTTTTTGGAGGGTGGGGGGGGGGGGATGACAGCGACCATGTCCATGTGGAGGCGTTTCTTTTTTGAGGGGTGGGGGGGGAGGGGGGGATGACAGCGACCATGACCATGTTGCCAGACCCGGCAGGCGCGGCTTTGGTGTCTTCTGCGTGTGGCGGGGGGGGAAGAGGCGGGCGAACTGCGCCCCCGCAGGCACGAGTTTGGCTGGAGCAGGGCATGTGGCATGTGGCAAGCGGAGTGATGGGCACTTCAAAAGCAAACCGCATGAATACACACACAAACATCCCATCCAACAACAACAACAACAACGTCAACAACAACAACACACGCACGTCCTTACTTTCGCACTTCGTTGGGCACCCATGGAGTCGGTCTTGGAGCCAGTCGCACTGCTTATTCTGCTACGCCTGGCACGGGTGTCGTTGCCTCCTGGTTTGGATGGCTGGCGGGCACGCAGCAGATTGATCGCTGCTGGCATCACTTGAAAAATATCATGCCCAGTGAGATGAAGAGCCGCGGTCCCAGCGGCCTGATCAACAGTCGCCTGTGGACGAGAGCATACCAATTCTTGTATAGACGGTCTTTGTGTGCCTGACATATTAAACATGTGGTCTCTGTGGCAAAGAGATAAAACAAGCAGTGCCCGATGCCAGCATGTCAATGCATGAAAGCTGCTGTTAGATACAAACGAACTTTTTGGCACCTTGCGGCATGCTCCTTCAGCAGATTTGAATGGTAAACGCGCGTTTTTGCGCGGGTCCTGCTGAGCGTGCGACCATGTTTTAGTGCAAATTCCTGCCGTTCAACAGTCAGAGTTCTTGTTGATCTAGACTTGGAACCCAGGAATTGGCTCGCCTTTTGAAGAAATGGGTTCCAGATGGTTCCAGTCTACCTTGGATTCATCCAAACGATTGGAACCCCGTCACCGATGAAACCCGCCGGACCCGACTCCGTCAGAAACGCCTGGCCCGCGACGAGGATCCAGTAGCTGATGACCACCGTGGCCAGGAACTGAGCGCGATTTGATCCGCGTCTGACATTGGATGCGCCACAGAGAAGCGCAAATCTGATGGCTACTAGCTACTGCCATCATGTCTATATGGCTTTGCCTTTTTGTGGGCGCCCCCCTTTGCGGGTGGTTTCAAAGGGAAACCAAAAGGAAGCCGCGGCCCTTTTACAGCGTGCGGTGGTGCAGTGCAAATGCTGTCCTACATGGGGCACGGTTGACATGTGACACGATACTAGTTCCTTGCAACTAGAATGTTAGAACATGCGTGTTCAGTGTTAGCTGATGCCCATCCTTTGTCTTACCATATGCAAGAGGAGCTGGGTGTCTCTGGTGCTTTCCGACTGCCGGCCCCCCTCTTCCCCACGCGGGCACCAAGCCACGCTTTTTGGGGCATGCCCATGCCAAACCGATTTGCATCGTGCCACTCCAATTGAGAAGGCTGCCCTTTCTTTTGGTCCTGTTCAAAGCCAACTAAAAGGGCGAGGGTTTTCAAAACAAGCACCCTGTTGGCTGCCTCAAGCCTGGCCACTCCGATGCTTTTGTTGACGGGCGTTCAGCCGCGCCTGATGCCCCAAGTCCACCAGAAACATCGGCCTGCACAAATGCTCAGTTTAACTCTCATTGGCGGGTTGAATGATCTCAAAATAGGAATCGGTCCGTTTCCTAAAACGCGAGGGTTTCCCTCGCTTTCCCTTCAAAGACCAACAGGGGGTTTGAATCCCATTTTGAGAAACTCTTGTTTGGATTGGTGGTTTGGAGGTGTTCCGGGGTTGGCTTCTTTGTAGCCTCCTCCAAAACCAAGATACTTTATCCATCCCCGAACCAATCCAAACGACCAACTATGGACTATCTGAGATTTGCTTCTGCGTTGTGGAAGGCCGTCCCACATATGGACGTGGGCCGCTGCTTGCCAGAAACATACGTGCTGCATGCTGCCCTCAATGATGATGACGATGATGATGATGATGATGATGATGATGATGATGATGATGCTGATGCTGATGCTGATGCTGCTGATGATAATAATGATGATGCTAATTCGTGGCTTCTGCAGGCCTGGTGAAATGCCAATGGTGAGGGTAAGCCTTTTCTTTTGCTCGGCGTGTTGAACGTGGCTTGTCCAATATGTCCCACAATTGTGACATGGCTGACTTCCAGTACGGAAACTTCTTCGTCTGTGCGCAAACCACCATTCCTCCTAGTCTTCTAGCAATGAAGAGAAGGATCCTGAACAAGGGGGGGCATAGCAAGAACTGTGCTCTATCAGCCTTTTCTGAACATGTGTTGCCCTCCATGACCTTATGTCCACCGACCATTTGGCAGGTATGTTCCATTAAAGTTCATAGGCAAATGCGAATTTGTGTCTAAATATGAAATGGGCCTTCCAAAATCTAAAGGGGTCCAAAAACACAAGAAACCCCATATTGGCCCTTTTGGTCTGGTGAAACAGGCAAGAGAAGGCAAAGAAAAGACCCTTCTTCCTTATCGAAGCTTATTCAATCCAGACCGAACATATGAATGAAGCTGGGGAAGAAGCTAACTAATTCTAGAATCCATACCCATCCATACATATCTCCTCCAACTATAACCGTGTAAAGGTGGAGGAAAGATAGGTTGGGATGAAGCATCCATTGGCAGGCCAGACGGCTCTTCCTCCTTCTTGCTTCTTAGGTGTTCCTCATCCTTCTTTTCTGGGCGAGAGACAGAGATAGAGAAGGTGCGAGTCTTTGATAGACATCTTGCCTAGATGAGACGGCTAATACTAAAGGATTCTGGAACCGTCTCATTCCCCGTCCCTTTATTAGGCATGTGCCGGCAGCCCCGAGGTCCAAACACGAACCGACCAGATTCTTGACAACCCGTATGTGGTCTCCAATTCCGGGGTCGCTTGTCATCCTGAAGCAGTGGGAATTGCCCACTCCGCTGACACCACTGCAAGGCCTTCCTAAAGGCTGCTTCGCCACTTAAATGGACAGATTGTTTAGTATCACAGAAGTTGGAACCAACCCCTCGGTCGCACAACCCTGGCCTGCATATTCTTAAAAGGATTACCTCTTTGTATCTTAAGGGGTGGGGTTGGAACAGCCTTTTTGAAGCCCAATCCTACAAACTGTTCACACTAACCAAACCTCACGCCTACAACATAACATAACCAGACCCACCCCCTCAACATGGCCCTCAATACATATAGCCTCTACAAGATGATGGCATAGCTTTCTCTGTCAAACCCCTTTACAAGGGCCCAACAACGGTCCTACAAAACCGTTTTTCTGCAAAATGGGGGTACCCGACCTGACGCGTAATTTCCTATTCTCTATTCCCAAGCAAAGCTTATAAGAGGTCAACCTGACCCATTTTATGGGAGGAATGTAAAGGTGGATCCAATACGGGATTTTAATCCAATTTTGAGAAGCACCACGGCCTGAAGGATCTCCACAAATGCTTCAGCAGCGCATGGACCACCAGCTTCGTAAAGATCCGCTGGTCCTTCGACACTGCCTGCAGATGGCCAACTGGCAGTCAAGGGAAACAAAAGGCAAACCACACCAAACCAAAGGACCGCAGAGAAACTACAGAGAAACCTAAGGAAAGCCGGGCTTGATTTGGAAGATTCTGGCAGTCTAAGATGTCCCCAAACACAACATCGGGGGCAAAATGCGACAAAGAACCTTTCTTGAAGCAACACAAGTGGTTGCATACCCCTTCTCCCCCTGGCAAGGGTGGCTTGATGGTAGCGCACACCAAATTAGACTCCAGCAAACAAGTGTGCTTACATGAGCCATTCGTATCTCCCCCATTTGACACTAAGCAGCGAAATAGACACCCCAGTTAGGACAACAACATTGTGGATGGAACAGTCTCCCTTTCGCACCAGTTGGGATGAATGCAGCACTAAACGTACTTGTATGTACTTGTTGTTTGATCAACAACTCCAACTGGTGCTTGGCGTGGATTGTGTCCATCCACAGCAAATCAATGATGAACGGAAGCAAGGAATAATGCGGCCTTAGAAAATCGAGCGAGTGCTGGAAAGTAAGGAACTAAGATGGGTGCAACCAAAATGGGTATCTTCTTTGAGGGTACCCTGTTTGAGATGATGTCAAAAAAAGCACCCATTCTGGTCGTGCCACTTGGAGACGAACCCATTCGAGACAATGAGCCACAAGCTGCCACACCTCACGACTTTGGTCAGCTGGGGCCGCCGCCAGGCTATGGACCAAAGAGCAGTTCATGATACCTCACACGGACTCACAATCAAACCCCTGGCAACAGGGTCGCATAGAATTCAGGGTTGACGCAATTAAAACCTGATCATGGGAGGAACATGTTGGTAATTACTTGCCTTTTTACCCAAGCCATGAAAAGAACCAACAGAACAGCCGCACGAACTTATTGCTAGGACTGTCCACTTAATCTTCATCCACCCAGGGTCTGCTTGTTCGCATGACTCCTCGTTGCACTGACAACGAAAGGGCTCGGACATCCAGTAGAATGTGCCTAAACTGGGTAATGAGGCTTCTGGAGTGGCTTCTCGTGAAACTTGTCACATCTTGGAAAAACTATGCGAATGCTCTTGGGCGCAACTTAAGTATATATATATATATATGTAACAACAAGTTGACATAAAGAAACGGTCCGCGCTCCACTTCTGCCACCCTTGAAGAGACAATCCTGTTGATTTGACAGCGACCGGGCTATGTTGACCACCTTATGCTGAAACGGATCAGGCAAAACACGCCCTGAAAGCAACTGTGCTGCAAGTGCCAGAACGTGAAGCTGTGCCAAGACTCTGCCAGCTGCCTGTGGCTCATGTCAATATGTGGCAACAAGGCCCACACCTGCTACTGGTTGCATCCTACAACAACAGTTATATGTTCAAACCAAGTATGTCCTGAAGCTTTGCTCCATGACATGTAATGAATCAAAACTGTAAGGTGCATGCTCAAGGGAAGTGTTTGTTCAAAGAATTTTCCTGTTACGGACGCTTGTTAAATGTAGCTCTGCAAAAACAACACAAAGAAATAATGAACGCAAGCGCGAAAAAGCCTGCGTGGGCGCATGGCGTGGAAGTAGCAATCGCTCAGAGCAACCCTTTGCAGGCTTTGACTTCTTCAGTTGGCTGAAAGCTACCTCGGTCGCAAGGGTTCGGTCTCGGCAGGTGCGGAGCGGTCTCTGACCTGGGCCCGGGGGTGACAGGCACCCTTCGCAGGGTCAGGTGCAGATTTCGTGGCAGGCGCAGCACTTTTGCAGCACTAGGAAAGCAAAAGAGACAGTCGAAAGCGAAAGAGACAGTCGAAAGCGAGGGGAGAAAAAGAGAAAGAAGAGAAAATAAGGAAGATGATATTAAACAAGAAAAGACAGAGGCACAGAGAAAGAATGGGACAGAGACAGGGACAGAGAGAAACAGAAAGAGAAAGAGACAAATAGAATGAAAAAGAAAGGTAACAAAGCGACAGACAAAAACAAAAAAAGTAGCAAGCAGAAAAAGAAGGAAGATAACGACAAGACATATACAACGATACACATGACTATATGTCCATTTGGTTTCAAACTTCCCCCCTGCTCTTGCGGCTTTATGGCAAAATTCAAAACCTAAACTAAGGAGTCCCCAAGAAACGGACCTCGTCCAACCCAGGTCAGCAGAACATAAGTAACATAAGCAAATCCAATCACCCTGACCGCCAGCTACTAGTATCTCCCTCCGGCCATCCCACAGCCGAAGCAAATGTCTGAGTCCTGCGCCTGGCAGTTGCAGCATTTTCACCTTCACCTCCTGGCGAATGATGCGAAGCGGGTAAAGCAAACAACGATTCAAAGAAAATGTAGTGTGTGGATGGACAAACTCCTGCACCAGTTGGGTTGGATCAAATCCACTTCCATGATTGTTGCAAACAGCGGAACCCGGCAAAGTGCGGAAGTTGCCCAGAGATCACAAGGCTGCCAGCACATATTGAAACTGCTGTGTTCGTCAAGGCATTTTGGCTGGACGAAATATGTGGGTCAATAAGTTTACAATTGTCAAATCCCTCTTTGTGGACCTCCTCTAAGGCAGCACACAGTGATACAGGATCTCTGTTCAGACCCCATGTTTGACGACTCCGAAGGTTGATCACTGAAAGAATGTCGTTTGAATACCCACGGGCAGCCCTAAGGCGAATGCGCGTGCGCCGGATTCTTGCAAAGATTTCCGGCGAAGCAAGCCGAACACTGGCCCCAGGCGTTGAGCAAACTAGCTATAGTTAGCAGGCAAATTTCATATCCACTCTTCGGACAGCAATGAAATGGCATTGAGAGGCGGATTCTGCAAGGTTCCTTCCTTCTGAGTTGCCAAATTGCAGTGTCGGAATCGGTTGCCCGTGCGATTATTCTGTCGTGTTTGGCTGAAACTTGGCGTGATTCACTGAGCCTGCTATGATTGTTTATCGCATTCACTCATCTACATTGAGTTGGCTTCACACGAAAAATCACGAGCCAACAACGCGGTCATTACCAAGCCCTCACTGGCAAATTGCCGAACTAAATGGCAGCTCCGAACATCAACACTGATCTCTTTCCTCAGCTTGTTGGATGACAATCCCTCGCAGCCAGAAGCCGGAGCGGACTCCTTAGAAAGGAGTCATTGTAGTTGCGGCTGTTTCGATTCTCGTCTTCCTTTCTAGGAGCATGATTACAAGGCTGGCTTGCTCACGTTGACTCCAACCCCCCGGGATCACTTGCACGCTTGGTATGGTTGAAGTCTTCCGCATGAAACATTTCGAAACATGGAATCCCTGAGAAGCCACATTCTTCGACCCATTGGACACATTGTGCCCTTGACGGCAAATGTTGGCTTGAACCTTGGGCCGGTGGCCCTTGGAAGAAGCTTTCGATTTCAAGGGCGCTCAGCATTCATGAAACAGCCTGACGGAGGGCGCTTGTGGTTGGTCACTGTACCTCGATGGTGCTACTTTCGTGTTCGATCACTTGAGATCAGTTGTTTGGTGACTATGCTTCAGTTGTTGGTGAGTTGATTTGTCTTAAGCATAATGTCTACTACGTTGCTTCCCACATGCCAACCCCATCGCCTCTGTCGCCCATCCCCTTCCCCCTTGCGTTCTCTCTCCTGGCTCCGCAGGGGGTCCTGAGGTGCCAGATTGGCCTCAGCGCAGCTCAGGAACTCAGGCTCTATGGCGTTTTCACAAATATTGACCTGGACCTCCAAAAGTGCGCCTGCTGCAAGGAAACCAAGTTTGGAGGATCTGTGTGTTCCAGGTACATCCTGGAATCTTCAAGAGATTCGCAGCCCTCTTTTGCTTTTGACTGGAAGCTCAAGAAACCATTTGGAACGGGCTCTGGCCAAGCCACCAGGGAATTAAAAGCCATGCGCAGAGAGGTCCGAAGGGGACACAACTGCTTGCCGGGCAGTTTGAAGAATATGCGATAATATGCGCATGACTTTCTTTTGAACCCTCTGGTGGGCACCATCGAGATTCATGTCCTTTCAAAACTTCCGAGGGTGCTCGAATTGTCACAAAGGGTCTCCCCTAAACGGATTCCTCATTCAGAATGAGAGTTTGTTGGGTTCCATGTGGGCATGAGACAAAAGGGCACCCCAAGAATGGGTCTGAGTCTACAATGCCCGTGCACCCATGTGCAGGGCAGTCAGATGAAATGCTAAATCTAAGTAGAAATGGCTCCAGTAGAAGTGATCTAACCAACTCTTGGTGAAGCTGTTAGCAGGCCCGTTCCTGCCGACACGGCTTTGTCTCCTGGAAGCCTCAAAATGGGCGGTTCCCTACTTATCCACAAGCTACACACAAGATCAAATATGTGAGATGCAGTGGCCTGGTCCCATTGACTAGGGTGCCAGCATCCTACATGCCCTAAGGTGCTTTGCTGACTATCTGATTAATATGTAAGCCGAACAAAAACTCATTGCAAGACAGTTACGCAGTGGCCGGAACGGTAAAAATTGTTGAGACCTTTTGAAGACCCCATTTTTGTGTTCCGCCAGCAATTGTCGGTAGGCTCTTCACTGAACAGGCAGTTCCAGTTGATTTGCCAAGCTGATTATATAGTGTGGTCATAGTTGGTTGCTGTCACATCCAGCTTCATTCGAGTCAATGGATCTTGGCGCCCATCCTCGCGAGCAAACTGTAGAGGCATGGTGCAACGCGCTGCTGATATTTCCAATCATTTGCCTTGTCGAGAGGCGCTGCTTGTGTTCCTTGAACAACTTTTCTACTGAACAGTTGACTTAAATGCCAGCGTTTTCTCGGAGCCTTGAAGTGGCCTCTCACACCCGAGTCAACCGGAACACGAAGGGCCTGCTCATGAATGTTTAAATCACCAACCTATTTGGGTGTGGGTCAAACATCGGTACCCGAAATGGAACCCTGGTAAATGGAACCAAGGACTAAAATCTGCGGTCCCCTGGTAGGTTGATTTTGACCCATACCCATTTAAACAATATCAATGCGATTTCCCGCCATGGCCGATTCGTTTAAACCGAGTTTGCCAGCGACGATTGCGTCCCGCCTGCCAGGGGAGTGTGGACTTGGCCTGGCGGTTCCAGGTCCACTGCTTGGCATCCACGTAGGCGCCTCACCGCGTTTCAGGGAAGGCTGTGCTTTTGGCTTGTGCAATACATGGGAAGCCTCCCAAACTTGGAAAATCCAAGAGCCCCCAAAGGAACAGGTTGCAATGGAATGTCCTTTAGGTGTGGGAGCCATGGGCAAGTCGCAAAAGCTGGGCTCTTCCTTTGTTGACGGTCTCCTGTTGCTTTTCCGAGCTTTGTTGTTCCCATTCTGACAGGTTTATGGAAGCAAACAAATGTTTGGGTACCTTTTGGTTAACCTTGAAAACCGACCAACAGGGAACTGAAACAAGGGCTATATTGGTAGGCGCGGACATATATTGAACGAACACGCCCTCAACACATGGCCATTTGCGGGAGTGCGGAAGAAAGCAAGCAACCTTTCGCTCCAGGCAGGACTCTGTGGGATACCTAGGCTCCCTGATCCCATATGAATGCATGGGTCTGTGTCTTTTGGAGGCTCGTCCTTTCAGGTTGACTTAACTGGAAAACACAAGGAATGCCACCAATTGTGGGGTCCCAGTATTTTGACACAACCCACATAAACATTCAGCTTAATTCAGGTCGATGACAAGCCCAGAAAACAAAGCGGGAGACTCGCAAGCTTGCCACCAACGGCGGGTGTGAAATATGGGGGACCCACCAAAGGCGTTTGCTGCCCCCGATTGAATGCGACATGGTTGCTTTGTGCAAGCGCCAGGGGCAAGCCCGGCCATCGGTCACTCAAGACCCAACCTCACACTTTCTGTTTTGGGACAACATGGGTGGTGCATGATGAGGCCCTGTCTGGAATCTGGGAGCTTACAATAGATCAACACACATGGATGGCCCACAATCCATTAACTTTGGTTTCGACCCATCTGGTGACTGGGTGATAATGTTTGCAAAGGACCCTGCTATAATTCTTACAGTAACAATTGAGCTTGCCTGCCCGCAGCCAAATAGATGCCCTCACAAAACACGTGAAGGTGTGTATACATAATAATCATAACCATCATGAATAATGCATATATGGTAGAGGTCTGGCACCCCCCCCCCCCGCCATGATCATGGTAACCTTAAATAAAACCCCACCCTCCTCCCCCTGTGGGCCCACTGGTTTTGCAGGTTATGGTCATCTTGTAAAAGGCCTCTCCCCCCCCCTGTGGTACCCCGATCGGCGAGCGGCCACCCCCCCCCCCCCCAAGTGGGGGGGGATACCATTGGGGGGGGGGTGGCCGCTCGCCGACCGGAACCATAAATACATATATGACTCAAAGAAGGGATCTCAGCAGATTCGCCACCAAATCACGGAGTGGCACCTCGCCAGTCGGGTTGTGGAGTAGCGCCGCTTGAATGAGTTCTTTGCCAAGCTATGAGCTAGAAACTTGTATCCTGATCCTTTCATCAAGTCCGATGCCTTTTGGCAAGCCTGTAAATACGGGTTTGTCTTAAATGTCAAGCCCCCTTTCGGATAGTCCGAAAAAACAAAACATGTAGAACACCAGCCTCTGGGGTCCCATGATTGCCAAAGGAGACACCTGGGGCGCCGCGCAGGACAAGCGGCAGGCTTCCTGATCGAAGGGGATGTTGGCGCGGACCTGATGCGCGGAGATTTGCGCAGACCCCAACTGTCTTCTTTCCTTCCGATTCAAAAGTCCCAAGAACGACGTGACCTGTTCATAGATCCCAAGCATTGAATAGGCCACTTGATCTTTGAGTGAAGTCGCCTGGCTCTTTGCTCTTTGGAGACCCCTGGTTTGCAAACAAGAGTTCCCACAACAAGGACTGTCTGCTTGAAATGGCCCCACGCACCTATCCCAACATGGACACGCATGAAGGTCAGAACAACTGTCTCTGTCAAGGGCGCTCTATTCAGCTTGTTCAGGTTCCTATCCACCTAATCCTTCCCCCGTATTCAAAACACCCCCCCGTGGAGAAGCAATTTATTGGTCTCCTGTTCCAGATTTCAGCTGCCAAGTGCATTGACTTTCTTTCTGGCCTGGGTAGGTCTGTCCGGTCATAAGCAGCCCAAACATGTTCAAGAATGCTGTTCTGAGGAAAAGGAAATATGCACCTCAAATAGGGTCTCCATTATCTTGCTTGGGGTAGAGCTTTTGTTGGGTTACTTTTGGCTAGCACCACAACAGTGTTTGGAAAATACCCCCCATTCCGGGTGCGAACAGTTCACAATTGGCGGCTTTTTGCCAAGGGCTTAAATGGAAACCGCAACCTGTTGTTCTTTCAAGCTCCCCTCATACCACTGAAGGAGAGGTCGGCGGGATAAATCACTAGCTTAGTATTGGCTTTAATTGAGCATTGGCCCCGCTAGAAACTTCAGAAAATGTTTTACTATTGGGGGACCCTGATTCATTGGGGGTGGGGGCGGTGAAGGAACTCGAGCTAACTCGGCCAATCAATCCATATGTTGACGAACTTGGACCCCGTAGAGAGAAACACTGAAAGATGGCACCTTTGTCCGAACTATGGGGGCACTGGCAGAACCAAGAGGTCTCAAGCAGACTTGTTGCGCTGGGTAATCAAAAAACCACAGTACTTTCATGATTCAAGATGCTTCTCATTCCCAAATATCAGCTCAGCTTTGAAGAGTTGATGCCTAACGCAGGCCTCATGAGTCTGAAAGTCCAAAAGGCAGGATTCAAGCGAGCAGAAGAGCCAACACCTTCTTGTGACAAAACGCACACTTGGTCTGCTAACATCAGGACAAGAAAGGACGAATTGATTCACATAATCATCATGATTGCTGCTGTGTCAAACAAGTGCATTTCGAGAAGAAAAAAAAGCTCCTCGCCAGAAAGGGTTGGCCACAGTGTGTCACATGTGTGGGGATAGTTGTCCTGTGGAGCAGAACGTCCTGATCCTGAAATTAGGGGCATAATGGGGGAATCCTCAAGCATCTTGGGTATATAACATCATCTTTTGCGGCCGTTCGTTTTCGAATACCCAAGAAAGCTGGCGTCCGCAATCCAACATCTACCTTCGTGACGCTGCGTGGTTCTCTAGCAGGCAAGCAGAGTAGTGCTCAAGACACGACAGTCTAGATGTGCCAGTTGATGATTCACCTAAGCCTCTCAAGCAATGCATGGATACAACCAAAAAGCACACGGGTTGACACCGTACTGTGGCAATCTGTCACTCTAAGAAAGATTCCAAATGGGGTATGCAATAGCCACCATATAATTGTATATACCCCGCTTTTCCGTGGGGTAGTTTCTTGGGGTAGAGGAAACAATCTTACACACGCACGCAGTGAAGGAAGCTTCACAGCTGAGCTATGCGCCGGCAAGGGGTTGTGCTGCTTGTTCTCCACCTTGACTACGCATGACTCAAAGCTCAAACGCCTGCAACCTGCAGGGAGTGGCATGGCAAGCAGCCTCCCAGAACAGAGTACCACACAAAGACACTATAAATCAGGAAAGGGTAACAAAAGTCATGTGGGGATTGGGCACAATTTGGGCCCCACTGTATCCCCTGTTAAAGGCGGCACGAGCTTTGGCAATCACCCCTTCGGTGCAATACATGCCGGGCTTCAAAAGCAACCCACATTGCTGGCACCAGGTCTCACATCTGCTTGCCAAGCGGAATTTTGCAGAAATGCCTTGGTCGCGCACCTCTTGCCCAACATGGAGACAAACAGCATCCCGTTTCAAGACTGTATCTTGCTGGCCTGCCCCGAGCAATCTGCTGTGCGTAAACAACGGTGCCTGCAGTGTTCTTTCCTGCTTGGCCTATGCCCCATGATGCAGTGTAAGTTGTTGCAGCCTTTTACTTGCATCACGTGGAGGACCTCGAAGCGAATGCTAACAAAACACAAGCGTTTAACTCATTTTAACCCTCTATGGCTAAGCATGAACCCATGTTGAAATTCAAGTTGTCTCATGATGTGGCAAAACAGCTAATTGCACGCAATCAGGGACATGTTTGTGCAGGCCTCTTGAACAGCCATAATTCAAGGCAAGCTTCAAGATGGCTTTAACGGACATGTCGATCACAGCATTGTAGAATGTAAGGATGTCTGTGTCCAAACTAAGGGGGACTTCCAGGGCGGCTTTCATGTTGGTTTTGTGAGGCTTGACACATGATCAATGGGTGCAACAAATGAACATGAAACAACAACACGAAAATGCACCGTGATGGCAAGGTCCAAGAACTTGACCTGACATGGCCAGTATGCCCAGCTACTTGGTTCGAAGCGCTAAGATGATACATCAGGGGAGGCACCCTTGCTTGGGGGTGAAAGCGACTTCACTATTCGATTGTGTTACGACAGCAGAATAACTCTTAGCGCAGTGTCTATTCCAGAGTGTCTTCTCTTGAACACACTTACAATGTTGCTTTTTGTACACCATAGTTATCAACTCTGACAGACTCCCATAGTTGGATTAGACGCCTTGTTGACCGTGTGTCACAATACCCAGATATGATGCTCATCAACCTCATGGGACTAGCAGACATCTGCGAGTCTTGGTCCAAAAAGCGCCTGGTACGATGAACCGCTTCTCGTCATTCTTCATCACACACTCAAAAGTAGGGCGGATGATTCTTCTTTGTTGTTGTTGGAGCCGATTCTCGAGCCATTCCTCAGAAACCCGAAAGGAAGTGGAATAATTTCTCCCCTGCAGAATGACATGGAACCCAAATAGCCACGATGAGTAGAGAAACTCCTTTCTGGGGTCCCCTTTTGGGCTTTCATGTTGATTTGTACGCGAGTATCAGGAAGTGGAATCTTGGTCATTGCGCAATGCTCGGCCCAGGCTTCCGTTGTTTTCGTTTGGAGAGCCCGCGCCTTCGGATCCACGGTCAGCATATCGAGCAAATCGATGGCTGACTGTGGCGCGTGGTTGATGAGGCCGCACAAGGTGGAAACCTGAGAGAGGTGGGTTGGCAAGGAAGCACCCTTTCTGAGGTTGACTTTAAAAAAGCGCACACCTGCAAAAAAAGATAAAGGGCACCACTGAGTGTCTGGGTTGAAGCGTATTATTGAAGTTCAAGAGACCCGTCTTCAAACCCAAATCAAGATGGCACCACTGGAGGTCTGCGTTATTACTTGTTGTATGTTGTGCGCGTTGGTATTAGAAATGAACTACGCTGTCATGGGTGACGTCGCAGACATCTAGAAGGCATGATTTGCCCAAACATCATGGCACCGCCTTGACATGGGTCCCGCCCAAAACTCCCAAAATCAACCATTTTAGGCGGTGTGGCAATTCAGTACCGAATCAGGCCAATCACATCCGGACGTTTCTGGCAGCTGCCAGCCCATCCAACCCGAAGACAAAAACAGCCCCAGCCAAATGAAGCGACATCTCATCTCCTTGGCGAGAGAGGAACAAGCGGTCACAAACTGGAGGACTAAGTGAATAGGTGTTGGCTCAGTCCGCAAGCCGAGGCGCATGGATCTGCCCGTCCCGTGCACCAGTCTGAATCGCCTTGCGCCAGTCCTCATGAAAGAGCTGGGTACGTGGCGCCCCGGCTCGTTTGTTTCAGATCAGTGCTTTGGGTGACCCTAAATGGGATGCTACACACATTTGTCACATGACTAGGATCTACACACATGACTATCCTTTTGGTGCAAACGGCAACCCGTCTCTTAACCCGCTTACCGCGCCGAACGTTAGGGCACCCTTCCGATACAAGTGCAGGACAGAAGCCCACACCATCCATTGTGCGCAAGGACGCCTTTGATACATACCCGCATCACTGGATGGTAACATGCGTCCAAACAACTGAATCTTTCGGAAAGCGGGACGCTGCGCCAAATGCTTCGAAAGTCGTTTACTCACAAGCGGTTGTCCAGCTTTGCGGCTGGCTTAGCATGTGGATGAATCACCATTCCTAGTCGACTTGGCATTAACAAACAAATCGACTTGTGTTGGTCCGCTTCTCTCTCCCTCTCACTGCCTTGGGCACCTACAGGGCTAGGGAGCTCGAACTGTTTGAGCTAATCCCCTTGACACCACTCATCGCGCATCGACCAACCCACGGCCTACATAAATGAGGATTCATTGAATGGTGGCGCCGAAGGGAATGCCGAACTCATGGAAGGCGTGTAACATACCTGCATCTTTTGATCTTGCCTTCCAGGGAACATCCAGCAACTAGTCATGTCCCACTGACCGCTTGACAATCCGATCAAAGAATATGTACTGGGAGCATAGCTCGGATCCATACACCAACTGACCAGTGGATCCGTGAGTCGTATTTGTATCCGCACGTGGTTATGTGTGCATACGTCAAGGGAGTTTGGATCCTTAAAGCGCGGACAAACGATCTCGAAGCAAAACACAAGCAACAAACCAACCAACCAACCAACCAACCGACCGACCGACCGACCGACCGACCGACCGACCGACCGACCGACCGACCGACCGACCGACCCACCAACCGACCGACCGACCGACCGACCGACCGACCCACCAACCAACCAACCGACCGACCGACCGACCGACCGACCGACCGACCCACCAACCAACCAACCAACCGACCGACCGACCGACCGACCGACCGACCGACCGACCGACCCACCAACCAACCAACCAACCAACCAACCAACCGACCGACCGACCGACCGACCGACCGACCCACCAACCAACCAACCGACCGACCGACCGACCGACCGACCGACCGACCGACCGACCGACCAACCCACCGACCGACCGACCGACCGACCGACCAACCAACCAACCAACTACTCGCCGCGCACTTTCTGCACCCTTCCTCGGCGACCAAAAAACAAATTTCCGCCCGCACCGCTCATCGCGGGCCTCGGAGATCTCTGTGTTCTTGGCCTCCAGCATGTTGAAGCCCGGCTCGTCCTCGCAAAGGTCCTCCAAGCTCTCGACATCCTCGAGCCTAGGGTGGGGTAGAAGGCATCCTTGCAAGATGTTCCTCTTTGGGTTGCTTTTTCGAAGCCTCTAAAAGGGGTGGCATTTTGTTTTTGCCTCAGGGGAAACGCTCTCCCAACCTTTCCGGGGATGTTCTCAAAGTTGATCTCAAAAAACAACTTTTTTGTGTTGATGTTTTCAAGAAAACCAAGAAGCTTCTGCAGGGAAGTTGAGCTCGTTTCGATCTCCTCTCACTTTAGACTGAGCCTACAAAAAGCTTGACTGGGTGCTCAAACGGAATCAAACTTGGACTTGCCTCACAGTAGCGTGGCCAGCACTCATGTCCATCGACCCGACGATGTCACAGGCGCGGTTCGAGAAAGCAAGCGTGCAAGCAAGCGCGATTCGAGATCTATTTACAAACCCAACAATGCCTTTCTCACAGCGCACAGTGTGCACCTGATTGTTGGCTATAGCTTCACGCTTCACGGATCTAGCAAACGCCTCAGGCTATGGACATGCCATAGACCCAGGTTTGATACACCAAGGTCAGAATGATAGACGCCCTGAACAGGCCGAAGCAAGTGGCAGTTGGCCCAGCAGTCGCTGCCACTTACCTACTCCAACGGGCCTACCCCACCAAACAATGTGGCACAAATGCAACTGTGCGTAGATGTTCCGAGCATATTACAAAGAAACTAGGCGATCGTCAACCAAACCCTGGTTCATGTGACTACGTCCCCCCCACCCACCCACCCACAGCGACAGCTCGCCCGGCCTGGGCGCGGTTCGGACCAGTTTAGGTGCAGCATCCGGGCAGGTCATGGCTACACGGAGGAAGGCTTGGACCCGGCCTGGACAGCAAACTAGTCGGAGGGGGTTTGTCTCCAAATAGGGTGGTCAATCCTATTTGGACACACACCAATTGGGCCGTGTTGAAACTGGGCTTTACATGGGAGTGTGGCAGCATCCAAAACAAGTGGGCTCCCTTTTGGTTTCTCTTTGAAGACTCCAATTGTCTTTCAATTTCCCAAGAGTCTAGTTGGCTCACGTGTCGTTTCTCCCCATGATCAGTGCTGATTCGCACCCGCCCTCCCCCCCGCCCTGAAAGGTCATCAAGGTCCAGAAGGCACTAGTTGTTTGAAGAGTTTTCCTGGACACCACACCCCTTAATTCTCCACTCCTCTCCGGACCCCTCCATGTCTTGGCCAATAGGACTGCAATAGGAAATTCAAAGGAAATTGCTGTTGTATTTTTCCAGTGGGGGATATGGCCATGAATAATCAGGGGTGTTGCGCTATTAGGAAGGACTGGCCTTGAAGGGGGTAGCCTTTGTGAGCTTGTCAAACTGATACTTACCAATCTGCAGTGATGAGTTTGCTGTTTTGGGATAGCTGAAGGGGCTGGTGTGGCAAACCTTTGAACCGTGAAAATCATACTGTTTTGTTCGAAGTATATATTGGCAATAGCTTCTGTGGTTTAGAATTGAGTTTATCATTTTGGGGCTTTCTATGGGGAAGGGTAGCACTACTCGGAGGAGTGTTTTTGGGGGGAAACAAAGTAACATAGGGGTGACTAATTGTTCTAACCTTGTCTGAAATTGGAACATAGCAGTGGTACAGTAAGGGCAAGGGTCCGCGTGGCGTCTTCTTGAGGCGACCTTCTTTGTGCTGTTTCAAAGAGAATTCATGGGAAATCGCCTGTTTTGGTGCCGTCACTTGGAGGGACACCCTGCTGAATTTGACACGGCCCAATAGGTGTGTCGTAAAGTAGAGCTCGGACCTCCCAACAAATAGGTTGTCACCTGCTGGTTTTGCTTGAACACCGGCCCCAAGGTTCATGGGTGTTGTTGGGGCCTGATTAACACTTCCCTGATTCATGCTAACCTGCTCGCCCGAGTCCACGGGCTCAATAGAAACCAACAAGTCATCTGTTCGAACGCGGGCTGCCTCCGACAGAAGAACGGTCACCTGACATGACTCCGTGTTGGTATCCCTTGCCCACCCAAAGCAGGTTCCCCACGCTTGCGGGAGGCGCCTGTGTCCTCCTCTAGGCAGGAAGTGAAGAGGTGGAGCTTCTTGGCCGGAAAGTGCCTCAGGCTGTGGCAGACGGTACGTCGCCTGCGATTAAGTCGCCCTCTTCGGAGACCCGTTTGACGGGTTCTAACAAACAAGTTGCAGCTAGCGCCACAGGATAATGTGTGTAAGCATCCTGGAACCCACTTCTTGGAACCTATAGGAATCATGCAGGGTCACCCAACGCGCCTAGGCATTGTCTTAGCAGATCGCTCCCCAGCATCTCAAACACACGCAAGCATAGAGCAAATGGGGCACAGACATGTGTGGACCGGTGGATTGATGATTAACCGAAACAGTGTCGATCAATTGTTAAGTGGTTGAGTATATCAGTCAATCTTTCTTGAAACCTATGGGAAGGACCAGTCACGACTGCGTGCTCCGGCAAACAGTTGCGTTGACATGCCCCAAGGGCTTAAAGAACTTGTGGTAAATGGAGAGAGAACCAGGCTTAAAAGGAGACTGCGACTGGCACCGACTTGTTTTGGAGTGATGATTCCTGTAAGTTGACGTATTTCGGGACTCTGTGATGATTTAAGTTTTAGGCGATTGAGACTCACTAACGGCCAGGAAGCTGAAAAGTCACATGTCTGAGGATTCATTGTGGTTTCATGCACATCGCTTTCAAACCCGCTTCCAGCTCTTTTTTGAAGGGCATGACCTATGCGAGTCAGGAAGGGAAAGCCGTGCCGCTGAACAAGTGGGCAAGAAGGCTCAAGCACTTTGCTCGAATCTAACGCTCTCGCACGAAACGGCCACTTGAGGATGCTCTCCACGTGCAGCGACTCCGATGGCAAAACACACCCTGCTCAGGATCTTTGTTTCATGGGCAGAATTATTGGAGGTTGGCCCTCAAAACAAATTGCAGCAACCCCACTGTGACCCAAGTGCACTGATAGCATCTGATATTTAACAATACCTCCAGCACTGCAGCTGTCAGACTTACTGCCAGCACACCCGGCCGGGATGCCTTGCTATAGATGCTAATATGTATGGTGAAAACCCAAACTAGATTGATTGAGTGGGCAACACTGCTCGAAAAGAAGTGACCAACCACCCCATTGAGCCTTCCCTGCAAAACAAGAAACATGACTTAAACCGAAAAGGAAGCCAAGCCGTAGTTGTGTGTTTGTGTAGCTTCCTTTTTTTGCTGCCACTCTTTTTAGAAACACCTACAGCCAAGAGGCCCTCTCTCCACGGCCATGGTGAGTGGGTCCTTGTTCTTGTTGTTCTTGCCTTGCACGCGGCCATCCACCAAGATCCGGGTACCTTTTTGAGGGTACAGGGCGAAAGTAGATAGCACTATTTCCTTCATCAAGTATAAGTAAATAGGATGACTATAATAAAGAGTTCGGGTTTAAAAGGGAAACCAAAAGGAAGCCAGTGATTTTGGGGGTTCTTCTATTTGGAGACTAACCCATCTGGAATTCCCCGGGCATGTGTCTACCCTGAATGGCACCCACACGACACAGCCGCAATCAGAAGCAACAAACAGTGTGCTGTGTACCTGCCTAAGCGCCCACGGCTTAAGAATCCATGATCGTTGCTATTATTTCTGGGATCTTGCACACAGGATCAGGGAGGGTTCTAGAACAGAAAGAAAAGGCAGCGTTCACAAGTAAATTATCTTGTGAGCAAACCCATATTCTAGATACTGAGATACAATAAGAAAACGGTATACAAAAACACCATCAAACCAAATGGTTGGTTGCCGCGCAAAGATCCACACAACTGTGCTTGAATTGTTTCCAAACGGCTTGCCACATATAGCCCGCACATCGCTCTGTTTCATACAACTGCTGTCACACCAACTTGCGCACACGCAAAGTTCAGAAGCCCCTGCAAACCATCAGCTAGGAAGAAACAAGAATCATGCCAAAGCTACGGTTGCATCAAGTGTCCACTGTCTTGGAAGGTGCTTCAACTCCCATTTGCATTTACAAAGTTTGCAGGGCCGCAATGCGCATAGGGGACTTGTACTGCAACCATATGAGGTCTCATCGACTTTGCTCGGGCAGATAGGTGCAGTCAGCCAGGTTTTGTCCCTTGTGCAGCGGACTTGAGAAAAAGCCACTCGTGAACTGTCCGTCGGTAAGTCTGCTCAAAGGGCCCACGTTTCAGGCAGTACGTTTCCACGCGGACTCCCAGGTCCGCTGCCAAGCACCCAACACAAACAACATTATTGTTGGGAAGTCTCGCTTCTACTTCTCATGCCTCCACATCTGCTTGTTCTATCATGTGTGCAAGCTTGTTTTTGGTGTAGCACTAGATTGTCCTTTGTGGGACTGGCCCATTGCCTGCCGCACGATTCGGCAGTGAGGAATGTGCACATGTTATTGTTCCCATCCAATAATTACTATTCGCTGTTAAACGCAAATAAGGACATTCGAGAATCGCTCTTTCATCCAAAACCAAGGGGCATACGGCAAAGTCAATTGGAACTATTTTGTTAAAACCCGGTGCATGAGACCCAGTTGCCCTGAAATTCATGGCCTCGCGTGTCAACAGAGGTGCGACGTGTTGCTGTCACAGAAGAACAAAGCCGAAGGGCGATTGCTGCAAGTGACAGCATGATCAACGTCCAACAGTCCGTGGTATTTCCTACAAATATGTTACGCCTAAACAGTACGTAAGTCGAGCTAAGAATTTGGTCGTTGAAACTTCGTTGCCAAAGCCGCTTGGCTGACTCACCAACGGCTCAGTGCCAGGCAAGCCAACTCTGCAAATAGGTATGCGCCGAAAGATAGAAATCACTCACACTATTTTTTGTTCTCCGAGAGGCCATAAGACTTCGGCCCCTGGTTCTTCATCGAGAATTGGGGGCCCGTCCCGCCCTTCTCGTCTGCCTAAACTCGCTCATATGAATCACGGAACTCCCCTGAGTGTGGAGGAGACCCTTTTTCAGGGGTGCCCACATCAGTTTTTCTCATCATGCAGGACGCCTTTTTGTTGGTGGTTTTAAAAAGAAACCAACAGGAAACACCCAGTAACACCCACATCCCCAACTTCCCAAATTCCAAAATTCCCAAACAAAATCAGTTTCTCTCATCAGGGTGCGCTTCACCAACTGCAGGCTCTCCTTCATGGCGCTCTCCTGTCATCACTCCAGGGGATGGGGCTGGGTTGGGTCGACTGAAGGGAACATGTCCAAAAAAATATGTCGAAGGGAGGTGTTCTTTCACTTTGCTGATAGGCGGGAGGTCTCCAAGGACGGGCACTGGTATCCACCCACCACCTTTTGCGCTATTGGTGTGAATGCACGCAATAACATGTTGGCCAGTCAGGGCAACCACCAAGACAACTACAAAAACCATGAATACATCGAACGATGGAAGAAATTCAAGCGACGAACACCAGGGTTGCTCAGAGTCGATGCAGGCTCATTCATGTTTCTACTCTTATATAAGCATTGGCCATGAATCATGCACACCCGACTTCGGGCTGATCCTCAAATTGCTGCCCGCTGTAGGCGACACACACACAAACGATTCCGTGGCGGCGTCGAATCCTTGCGAAGACAGGTTAGTTTTTTTTTTTTTATGGGAGCCGAAAGACGAACAAAAGGATCTTCTGTGGTTGTCTTGCGAAGGGTGATGGACTTGAAACACTGGCCTGGAGTGCTAAAGCCGCCAACCGCGCGGAACATTTTGCACCTTTCCCGCTGTTCCGGCCTGAGCGACGCCTCGATGACTTTGGGGGGGGGGGGGAATTATCTACGGGGCAGCACATGTTACTTGGATGCCTGCAGATTCTGGTTTGGTGCCCGACACACCTTAGTACCAGGAAAAAACGGGCTTCTATACGCTGAAGGCTCCAAGACTACGACATACACTTTAGTTCTGTGAGCCATAGTTCGCTGCAGTTTGCCAAGAGTATTTAGTTGCCTTGGGATCTTAGAAAGACTGGCAAGACGTGCAGAAGTGGCTGCCACCTTGTCATGCTGAGAAACAAAAAGGCGGGCTCAATCCCGAGTGAAATTACCAATGGCGGTGCAACATGAATGATTGCTTGCTGGAAGCAATGTCATACTTGTTTCACACCCAGAAATCCGCGCCGTGTGTGGCGGCGGGACCTAAGGAGTGCCAAAGGCAAGTCCTTGGACAAGCAAGATCGCCTGAAACTCTGGCGAATATGGAAGATGCGGCCTAACTAAGCTCTTTTATAGAGGGCTTGATTTGACCCAACACGGGGGCCGTGCAAACGGTTCCAGGCGAGTCTGGAAGGGTCGGATCCCGTCTCCGGGGTCCATCGTGTTCTCTCGAACGTTGCCTGGCCTTCACCGCCTCGTCCTTGCCCTTGAGGACGCTCTTCTCGCCCTTTTCCTCAGACACCGGTGGAAACGGAAATGGAAACGGAAATAACAGCGGCCATGGGGAAAAAAGGGGCACCTCGTTGTCGGCATTTGCGTTTTAGACGGGAATTCCATGCAAAACACAAAACAACAGGGTATCATTGCAGGCTTTGGATAAGAAATCCCTACGTAAGGAAACTTGATCATGGGTGAGCTTGTGTTGCCCCCCCAAAGCTTGTTCGTCGCATCTCGCCGAGAACTTGCATGCCCAGGGATGTGTCCTTCGCTAGCTTCTATCCTGGAATGGCTTATTTAGGATTGGATTCTGTCTGGCTCAGGCTTTTGAGCTTGGAGAAAAAATTGTTCCAGCGCTGCTGCAAGGGCTGTTTGCTTTTGTGAAGTGAAGCAGGGTGAAGCTTTGGTCTGTGGCAGGCGTGCATTTATTCAGGTTGGGTTCATGGTAATTAACGTTTTTCGGGTTGGCTTCTGGCAGTGTTGTGAAAGGTTGTCGCTAATCATAATTGATTTAAAGCTGGGTGGGTTGGCTTTGGGGCATCCTAAGCATGTTGTTCTGCATTGGATATTTTGCAGCCAGTGGAAGCACGAAACCTCGAAATCGTTGGTTCAGGTCTGCGCAATTGAAAAAGACATACTTCGGGACGCAGCATTGCCACATACGAGGAGCAGCACAACGCTTTCACTGGCGAAGATACATGCATTCATTGATGCCCTAAACAATCTCTCTGATGGTGCTTAGGACGAGAAAGACAAATGGAACATTTGGAGTGTAGTCACTGCTTGGCTCCCAATGCGGTACAGAGATACATTTCACCCAACATAATCCAACAATCGCGAAAGCTGGCAGGAAGGTTTGGAAAGACTACTCTTCTTGTGCTCAAGGTCCCTATCAACTTTCATCATCATGGAAGAGAGGACAAATTGCTTGGCTTCGTGGTGGGTTTCGTTCGACAGTACGAGACCCCCAAATGGAAGGTATCCGTTGGGCTTTCCTTCAAAACCAGCCAAAAGGAGGGGTACCCTCATCAATTCCATCTAAATGGCCTGGACAGGGTGTAGCGAGTCTCACATGTCCGCACACTAGTTCTCACTGCTTGGCTTTTGGCAACAAGACATCCACCCCGTGCCGCTGTCCGCGGCTGTGTAAATATGATCTTCTTTTCAGTGGTACCAAAAGTGTGCACCGCTAATGACTATCTCCCAAAAAAGAATTCCCTTGGCAGCCCAGGACATCACAACACATTTGCAACACCTGACCCATGCCGCAACCCCAACCGCAAGCAAGCCGCCCGGCGCCCGTAGAGCAGAAACCACACCAGGCGAGCCTTGGACCGGAACCCGTGCGACTGGGCGTCAGCGGCTGACTAGCTCACGGTGGGTTGGCCAACAAAGCCTGAACCTTTTGTCTGCCAAAATAGTCGTCCAAAACGCAGAAAGTGAGAAAAACAACAATTTGTTTAGGGCGGGGGTGGGCGTGCAAAGTTTAACTTGTTTCATCGCAATTGCAGCTAAAGACTCTATTTGCGAATATTGGACAATTTGACAAAGGAAGAAATTCAGACCGAAGATTCAACAGCAAAGGGGTGTTTCCAAAATTTGGCGGTTTGTTTCCTTGTGGCCTCCATTTCAGCAGCAGCCAATAGGGGTCGCTAAGACCGGACATAGAACTGCCTGAGCTCCCGTCGTGCCCCAGCATCGCCGCTAGATGCAGCGCCGTGTTGCCATCGTTGTTCTTTGCCTGCGCAGGGAGCGAGTGTCTTAAAATGTTGAAGGTCGGTTTCCGTTTTGCCTCAACCAATACTAAAACAAACCCCCAAATTGAGAAACAGTGTCGGGACAGTGACCAAAGGATGCCTCTCAAAACCAACTCGGAAAGGCTACACTCATCAAACACACACTCATTGAAGGAAGGAGCCTGGTACAGCAGTATGACTACAGCTGGAAGGGGTCAGCTTACCCCTAATGGCTTGCACACATGACACTGGGGACTGACTACGCAACTAGTTTGGTCGTGATGTCTAGTGGTCTGGTGGTGGTGTTGTAATGGTGATGCTGTTGTTGGTGGGCTAGCGGCACTTTGAATGGTTACTGGTTTAATTTAGTGGTGGTGGTACAAGAGGTGGTGGTGGGAGTGGTGGAAGTGCTGGTGGTGCTGGTGTTGGTGTTGGTGGCGGCGGCGGCGGCGGTGGTGCCGGTTCATGGTGGAGGTGGAGAGGAAGGTGGAGGTGGACGTGGAGGTGGACGTGGAGGTGGTGGTGCCGGTGGCGTGGTGCTAGTGGGCAGTGCTCGGCAAAGCTGACAATGCTTGCAGTTCTTCTGTATCGCCAAGGCACAAACACATCGGCACGGTTGTGAAGCAGCGTTTCCACGCAGTCCCGCTGGTTGAACCACACCGCGTCGTGGATGGGCGCGTAGTGCGCCTTGCCATCTACTGTGGCCTGGCGAGCGTCTCGAGGTGGCACTTCCTAGGAGGATTAGACAAGTCTGTCTGATCCTTTTGGTACCTACGGGCCTTATCTTCTCAAACACGTCAAAGTCTGGACGCTGGAAACTGGGGCTGTGTATCAGTTGTGCCATGATCTGCATGTCATGGGACTTGCTGCTTTGGGACGATGAACGCCATCTGAGCTCTGACACATTTGCCTGATTGGCAGGGTCTGAAGTGGGCTAAGGCAATAAACAGTGGAAAGCCGTTGTGATACGTTGCGAATTGAGTTTGTTGTGCAATGGGCTGCGTAAAAATGAATGGGTATTCTACAGGGGTCCCAGTTTTGGGTTCCTTTTGCGACAATTGCAAACCATGGACTATTCAGCACCCAGAACGCAGTGGTTGGTCAAGTAGCTGTTTCAAGGCGAAAGCAGCGGAATGCAAGCTTCCTGAAGGTCTCATACGCATCCACACAACTATGTACGTTTTGTTTGCTCGATTGAAATTTCCCCAAAACAAAAGCATACCCCAACTGTCCCGCCACGCTGGGGGGAGTGGCCACTTGAATAATTCCTATTGGGAACTATGGGGTGGGTGTACTTCCCGTGTCAACATCATCCCACCTAAAGAAACCTCCTGCCAAAATGGGCCACAAAGTGATGTTCAAAACCATGAATGGGAAATAGAGGGAGCCCTGGAGCCATGGGCCCCCTTTTGTAACCCAAGCATTACGGCCTGCAGCCCAAGCTGTGCTTGGCAGCGCAAGTTTGACCAGACTGGTATCACCAAACACCGATTAGCTTGCCAGGACTGACCAAACAAAGTTGCAACCTGTCCCTCAAGCCGGGGCAGGGCGCGATCTCAAAAAGCATTTCGTCTCCACAGATTCAGAAAAAGGTTCTGCCTGGCAATTTAGAAAAAGGTTCTGCCTGGCAATTTAGAAAAAGGTTCTGTCTGGCAATGCTTTCTTGACACAGGTGGTTACAGCCAGGTGCATGTCAATTCCAACAGGAATTTGTCACTAGGCGATATGTGTCTTCCGCAAAGCACTTTCTCAGACAAAGGGAATGATTAACTTGTGGAATTGGTCTGCGTATGTGTCCCCGTTCCTCCAACCTGAAAACTCTCAATAGCCAGAGCATGCCACAGCACATGGTGCTGCGTTGCTCTTGCCAGCCTGTGGCCTGTGGCTATGGCCCCACGTGAACAACCATGAAGAGAAATCAACATTAACTGGTTAGTTTAGGCCCTGCTCGAAAACATCCCAATTTCTGAGTTGGCTTTTGCCTAAATGGGTTGGGCCAATTGGGGTCATGACGGGCCGGAGCTAGGCATGAGACAGGCGCCGCCGGAAATTTCGCGAGAATACTGTGCATGTACCGGTGATACAGTGGGCCAGGACTCCTAGGGTTTCTTCCATCCCTGGTGCAGTGTGTTCACAGTATCACTCCTGAATACGACTGCATACTCTTTGTCCAGACACCTCGCCAGAAGCTGCTGAATGGCTTCTTCGAACATGCAAAATCGTCCCTTGCAGGTTCTAAAACTCCAAACCAGAATTTTTGAACCTACAGGCTGACGTATAGTATGGCATCCATAGGCCCTGATACCTCCACCTCAACTCTATACACGGTGCGATCAATCAGGCCGCCACCTGTACAAACAAATTATATATAAGTAACTTAAAAGAGAAATCCGGACGCAGGCTGTCTGGAAAGCGCGGGCTCTCGCTGCATCACTGCTCCGGCATGCGCAGCGGGAGGGAAACAGTGCGACTCCTTCTCGAAGCTCTGCGGGGTTCCAAAATGTCCCAAAAAGTATTCCGTACTACGAGCTGTGCTCCTTGCGGGAAACCAGGTCCTCTTGACGGGGGCTTCTTCTGGAAACAGGGCTGTCCAACGAATCGAGGTGCTGCCCCCTCTCTCACGGTGGGCGCGTCGGGCCCGCCGTTGCCCCGTCGATAGGCCGCCCTCTGCACGCGCAAGGCCTCGAAGAAGCGCTGTCGCACACGGCGCCACTGGTCTCCGCGGACAACGCATTGGTGCCTGTGTGGCAAAATGAAACGAACTACTAATCATCTCCTTTTGTGCTTCAGCGGAGAGTGGTCAAAGAAGTTCAGCAGTTGAGAGGTGTCAACAAAAAGGACCCTTGAGTTGCCTTGGCCCCAGAGGGCCGGAAAGCAGTCAGACCCTTCAAGCCTCGGGATATTCTAAACCTCATCGCCAACTCCAGTCAAATCCCCCCTTCTACAAGCCGGTCCAACTGCATCCCTCTACAAACCGGCCCGGCCAGTCAAAGTCCACATCTAGAAGCCGGTCTTATTCCCCTCTGAAAACCAGATCCCCTCAAAAAACCGGCCCGTCCACCCATATCCCCGTAGAAACCGGTCACATTCCCCAGCAGAACCCGTCAAATTCCCCTCTGACCGGTCCCTAGTAAAAGCGGTCAAATTCTTCACGCATTCCCTCAGGCGTCGCTTGGCCCAGTCCACGGCTCTCGTTCTAGCTAGCCCTTCGCGTGGTGCGAACATGCACTCACCCTCTATCTTGGAAACCAGCTCGCGCATTTCGGCGCCGACTCACTCTCTCCAAACACAACACTTCAAGGCCAAGCAAAACACAGTACCACAAAGCCAGCCAAAAGCAGTCTGGCCGAGCCGGGCAACGCGAAGTGTATACAATTGGCTTTACAGGCTTAAACTATTGTCATGTGAATGAGGTGTTTTTGCGGGGACATTATTTGCTTGGTTTTAAAGAGAAACCAATACAAAACCAACCATGTTGGGTCCCCCAATTTGGAGACACCGATCTACATACGGGCCTATGCGGTACCTCAACACCAAGTACGTCATGATCACAGGAGCAACATGTTAAATATACTTTTGCTTATTTATGCTTACTGCAAATTTGCCTGGAACCCAAAAAGGGTTCGCCCCCAAAGACCAATGGCTATTCCTCAAAAAGTGGGCAGGACAGTAATTCCTTATTCAGGTTTTTGCAATTGGCGGTTGGATTGGTGGTTTTGCGGTGTTCCAGGTTGATTTCCCACTACAGTAACTCTACCAGAACAAGTGGTTCAATCCCCAAACCACCAATTGGGAAACCCAAAGGAGGAAAACCCAGTTCTATTGCTACGTTGCCATTAGTCCAGCAAAACGTCAAAATGATGTTGCACAAGCATCCCAGGCGCGGACAAAGGCGGCGGCTGTCAAGCGACTCGAAAGTGGAAATCTCCTCGCCCAGTCGGGTCATAAAGACTTTGAGGTACTCCTGACTGGCAAAGGGGAGTTACCACCCCCCCCAATGCAAGAAGGGCTCTTAGACCCTTCTTTGCAGTTGGTCTGATCGAAGAGTTCGGAAAAAAAAAGCAAAGGGGAACCCAATGTCTACGGCGCAAACCAAAAGGTGGAGTTAGTTGTGTCCCAAAACCAAAAACTGCTTTGCTTCCTTCTGGCTTCAAATTTGCACGGCTTTCCTTTGCACAACCCCAAAAGGGCCCGCCCCCAGAGTCAAACAAACAGAAAAGGAGCCGTTCGCTTGCCGAGATTCTGCCAGACAAAACTCCCCTTGAAAGCGTTCCCAGTGGAGAAGCCCAAGTGCCGCACCCGAGTCCACGCAAAGGGAGGTCGTGCCTTCCGCTGGCAGGAACGGATTGCCCCGCTTGAGGTCGCTAATGGTCAGGGTCACATACAGCTGCCTCAAGCACGTGACAAGGATTGCCCTATCTTGCCACAATGCCCTCAAAAAGCGAGCAAGAACATATGAAGCTCTTGTCACGTCGATTGCACGCAACTGATGGGTTTTCTGGAAATGATTTAACCCCTTAGAGAATACCTTAGTTCGGGCCTTTGATGGATTTAGGCTCAGCCAGTGTCTTGTCCACTCCTGCAAAAGAAAGCCCCAGCCGCTTTTCCAGCCTCTCCCAGCGGTCATCTGTTGGCCAGCATTCTAAAGACACACGCACACATGGTTTCCCAGGTTGTTCAAACTAGGTCTTACTGTAATCCGGAATCCGCAGCGTGACTCCGCCACAACATTGATCGATTTTCACAAGCAGTGCTTGCTTGCTCTGGGCAAATCGCGAGACCCCCGAATTGAACGCAGGTACACTTTTAGCAGACCCCTGCGCGCCCAGCAATCCCAGACGTGGTGAGCATGGGAAACGACAAAACATTTGCTGGTACTTGATTTTAAAGGGTTGCGCGGTCCAATAAAAGGAGCACAAATAGTTCTCGGTAATTTCCTAAACAGGGCCTTTGCACCTTCAGGGATAGACACGCTTTACGCCTTTAGGCCCCATGCCAAAACACACGCTTTCCAACAAGACAACACGCAGAACCGGCCCCAAAAACTAACGACTTCTCTGGCCCCCCGAGGCGGGAGGCTCGTCCATCTCCAGGGCCTCCTTGGTACTCAATCGGGCGACGAACCGCTCGAAGGCCACTTTGAGGGTGTCCAGCAGAGTCACGAACTGGAATGTGGCCCAGTCTGCGAAGGCGTCCTTTTGCGACTTTCTCCCAAACAGTGTTGCCCTTTCTTAGAAGTCCACTGGAATTCATCGAAAAAAAAAAACAGCCATTGTTTGGTTGATGTTGAAGGAGAAAAATAGCAGCCTTCGAAACAGGAAGAAAAAAGGCATCGCTTGGGTGTCGTCTTTTTTCTCAATGGCCACGGGAGGTCCAGGGTTGGAGGCCCTGTAAAAGTGTAAAGGCTCTGGGGGTCTCTCAAGTGTGTCTTCATTCGCCGAAAGGCCGAAAGGAAGCTATAATGTTATGGATATGTATATTGTACATATTACATATTGGCGCCCCCCGCCCAAGTGCCATGTTAATAGAGTCGGAGGCCGACAGTGGGCTGAGCGTTTCCGGTGTCCTCGAAAAAGACAAACAATAACCCAGCTGTTGCAACAAACTCCCGTTGGCTCCCGCAAACCTATCTCCTTTGCCCCCATCCAAGCATTGTAAGTTTGATGCGTGATGATATTTTCAGATTGCCTAGAATTGGTGGCTTG